AAATTCTAGCATTATTTGACTTAAAAATCAGATTTTGTAAGCTGTCCCTACTGAAACTACACCTACTACTACAGCTATTCTCTACATAGAAAAGATAACAGGAACAACTATCTAGCTATCTGAGTCAGAGTCAGATGCCTCATTGTCACTCAGTGCAAGAGTTGCACGCACATCCACTCCTTCATCCTCACTGTCGCTATCTACTACGTGAGCCTTCGCTTTCTTCCTCCTCTTGGCTTCTTCATCATCGGCCGGTGCCTTCTGAGCTGTTGTGTCAGGTGCAAGATCCTCCTTGTCTCCCTGCCTCCCTGCCTCGTCCGTCTCTGCCTCCCTTCGCTTCGCCTTTGCCACTCCACTGACTTCTTTGGCAGGGCGCCTCTTCTTTGCCCCGCGCCACAGCTTCACCACGTCGTCCCAGTCTGGTTCGTACTCAAGCAGGGAGATGCACATGAGGTCCGCGAGGCGCGCATTGCAGAGATTGTTCCTGAGCCACGACTTGATTACGCTTTGGCGACTGAAGCCTCGCTCGCACTCCACAGTGCTGAGCGGAAGAACAGCGACTGCCACCCAAAGTCGAACCAGATTGGGGAACGAAGACTCCCAATCCCCGCTCCTCAGCATGTTCTTCAGTGCCACGTGGAAGGATTGGTCCTTGTACTGCGAGACCATCACGCGGGTGAAACGTGGAAGCTCCCGCTCGGCCTTCTTCCAATTGACTCCTGCAAGCACACACAGCACATCTAGTTAGCATCCCATTAGGCAGATGGATCGTTGCACAAATAGGGGATTAGGGACAACGCGGAAATTGAGTACCCGTACCTAGCAGAGCGCATTGGTCGGCGTTGAACATCTTGCGAAGGGAGATGAACCACTCCGCGCACACACGGTCGCGCTTGTTCACGCCCTCCGGATAGGCGTCTGGCAGAAATAGCTTGGACCCAACGAGTGAGTTCAAGCTTCACATGCGGTACTGAAGCCTGTCGATCACCTCCTTCGCAAACAGTTTGGCGAGGGACACGCAGGACTCGACGTCATTCGTGGGATCCTCTTTCCCCTTCGCATCCAGTTCGTGCAGCTTGAAGGTGTGTTTCACCGCGTTGCCGTCTCCATCCATCCCCTCCACTTTGACCACCCGCTTGGACGGATGGGAGTGCGCTTCGAGGAAGGCAGTGAGGTGCTCGCTGTCCTCCGCGAAGTTCACCCCATACTCCACATAGCGCGCGTTCAACTTCGCGCAGGTGTTTTGCACCTGCCCCATGACACGGGTGATGTCCACCTGCGAAATGACGCACACACACAATGTTATTCATTGACTGTCGGGAATTGAGCGACTTTATTAATCTGCGACCGTAAATTACACGCTCACCGATCGTCGCTGAAACCGCTTGTTGAGCTCATTCAATTCCTTCAGGACATCAGCGAGAAAGAAAGAAAGAAAGAAATGATATTTGAGGCTCGTGACCAGGTGATACGTCGTGCTGTCTTTCTCGTGGAGCAGCACTATGGCAGCAGGCAGAACAGCGACAAGTCTCGATACAGCATCGCCACGCGACAGCCAGCGAACATCGAAAATCCCCTGCATCTCCAAGTTCGTGGCGTGAATCACGGTTTGCAGCTCGTGGAACCTCTGGTGGACGACGCAGCTACCGCCAATGAGGGTCGTAATGGCGCGGATCCCTTGGTCGACGATGTTGAAGGCGGGGATGTTCGTCGCGGCATCCTTGGCTGCGAGAGCCTCTCTGTTAGCGCATGGAAAAAAAAAACCAAGTTAGTAGGGGGAGATATCTGACGACGATAATGCAAGATTTGAAGTGCAAAATACCTCACCGGTGCGCAAGGCAATGACATGCGACAAGATGCGGAACTCGCATCTTCAGTTGAACCACCAGCCCATTCTGACTGCCCAGCATCACGTTTGCGCCATCCGTGCTGATTCCAGAGATTTTGCGCATGTCAACCCCGTTGCAGTCCAGATGCGCCAGCAAAACGGCGAGCAGAGATGAAGCGTCACCCTTCTCGACGGTTAGGTGCCCGAAAAGCTCGGTCACCGCCTTCTCCTCCTTCATGAAGGTTAGGTAGACGATGAGATGCTTGCCCTTCCTCCGATCCGTGGACTCGTCGAGCTGAAGCCCGAGAAAGGGCGACTCTTGGATGTATCGCATATGACGGGCCTTCAGGTGCTTCACCATGGCTTCGGTCATCTCTCGAAACCCATATTTGCCATAGAAAAAGCACGACAATAAGTAAACATGATGAGTACCTAAACTACACATCACGTAGCATTACTCACTCCGTCTGGTAGGTGCCGATGGCTTTGTCGGGAATGTTGGGGGTCTTGAGAACGTGTAGCAGGTGCACAAGGCCAACAAAGAGCGCAATAGGTGCATCCGACTTGCAGATGAAAAGCACTACTAATAGAAGTTGTTTCAAACGCTCAATCTCCCCCACCCCATCCTCATACGCATCAATCCCTCGTTGAGCCACTTTACCACCTTCGGCTCGGGCTTTACGATCGAGGGCGTCCTGATGCTTGCGACTCAGACCATGCTTGCGCATGGTCTGCTTCTGGATGTCGACGCCACCCTCGCCCGCCTTGCCGTACTGCCAGTGTGGCGGTCCGTATCTGATGCAGACGCTGCACTTCATGCACGGGCGACCATCCTTCCTTTGTGATATCACCAGCCAGGGGAAACGACGTTGCCATGTGTCGGTGCACTTCTTCTTCAGTTCTTCGAGAAGCGCGTCAGGATCTGGAACCAAAACAGACGGCTTGGACGGCCCTGGATCTGAAGGCACCCTGCTAGTGCCAGTCGCTGGCGTCAGCGGAGTTGCAACAGCTGCGGGAGAGGGCGACCTTCCTTGAGGCGCACATGAGGTACGCGCGTTCGAGCAAACCGAATTGTTGATTGAGTGAACTTCCCGAACTTCGGGAAGCGGGAGACGCCTGCTGTTCGGACAGCACTGACCGTCGGAGTCGCAACGCGCCCGGTTGCTCTAGTGGGCGTCCCTTCCACAGGCGGATCGCTCAGCGGTTGCCGCTCATTGAAAGCCGGCCATGGGTCCGTGCTTGCCGTTGGCTCGTTGTTGGTAACTGGGGGCTGCTCGACCGGATCTCTTTCAGGCGTGGCGGTAGGCGGACCGCCTCTCAGAAAGTCGAGACCAGTAAGTGGACGACGCGACCTAGCAGGGTCGTCATCGTCCCCACAATCCATGGCTGCAGGGCCCTAGGAGGATGGTGTCAAGACGGCGGAGAGAGCAGGGGATAGAATTGCCCTGTGCAAGCGAGTGAAAGGAGCGTTGGAGAGGGAGGGGGAGCCAGCCGAGCATTTTCAGCTGAACGAGGTGCATGCATGAGGTTACAACGCACCGCGGTGCCCCACTCCAGCCTTCGTCCAGCGGAACGTTGGGCAACAGTCGGTGAGAGTCGCGCGAGGCGCTGCAATCCACACAACTGATGCGCTGGCTTGAAAGTGGACCAGTAACAGAGAGAGATGCTCCACTTTCGTCTACATGTGGCCCAAGTTGGCCAGATGTGCGCCAGATTGCCAGCACTTGACTTCTGTCAGTGCGCTCCGCTGCGCCGTCACCTCAATCACGCATAGAGGTGTACTGATCGTGCCGTGATTGGCGCAGCCTACCCTAATCACGCGTCAATCACGGCGGACTGTATAAAAGTCAGTTTCAGATCGAACTGATACAAGTGCCTGGAAAAACAGAGGAATTGCTACACGCACGTCTTTTTCATCAGACAAAATGGAAAATTGATATCTTATTCATCAGATTTCACAAACGATCACTTTCTTAAAAATCAGATTACTAGGAAAAAAAACATCTGATTCCTTAGAAAAACAGACAAAAATGTCTTATAGCGAGGGCCCTGGGCGAGGATGGCTCGGTGATGGTTGCGATTGGTGCGGAGCCGACTCGGGAGTGGTTCGGTTCGATGAATTAGGCCGAACAGGTTCGTCGCGATACCCTCGAGATGTCCTCGCTAATAACTGACTACAGTAAGGAAATCTAATTCCTTACATTTTCCCCATAATTATCACTTTCATGACCCCTACCCTTTGTTACTTTCGCAATGTCGCTTTCCTCGCACATCCAATAGCGGCCCTGCCGAATTTGTCGCACGCAAACCACTCACCGAACCAACGGATTCCCCTTCACCCAAGCGGCGGGCGGAGCTAGGCTGGACTTGCTCCGCCTTTCCTGGCCATTACCCTCCGCCACTCCCCTGCTTCCGCCAGCCTTCGCCCTCCGCGACGCACCCTCGGCACACGACTCCCTCCCGCCCGCTGGTCGCTTGCGAGGTCATGGCGAAGGAGACCGACTCCTCCCTGATGGTAACCCGCCCGCCAGTCCCTGTCGCTGTTTTCTCCCTCCATCTTCTGTCCCTTCATGCCTCCCCACTCCTTTTTCCCGCCATAACATCCCATTTCGAGACACGCCACTGCCGTTGCTGCCACGCCATCCGTCCTTCCGTCTCTCGTCGTTCGGACCCACGTCGCGTGCGAGTGGGGTAGGGCCAGCAGCGGAATTCAGATTGCCTGCTGCCTGCAATTGTGTGCGGGAAGCATCACCCTTGACCGGCCTAGGGCGTCGATTCGAGAGGCGCCGCCGTCGTCTGTGCTCGCTACCTGTTCACGTTTGCTGCGAACCAAGAGTTTAAGACTCAAGACCCTCTATTTACAACTCTCGATATATAAACTCTCGATATTGGAACCTCTAAGATCCTCGAGATAGGACACTCGATACACGATTCTCGATACAGGAACCTAGTTATAGGACTCTTCATACACTACCTTTGATAAACTACCCTCTATTTACGACTCTGAGTGTAGGATTCTTGCTTTAGGCCCTTCGATATACGACCCTCGATATACGACCCGCGGTGTAGGCCGTCAATTCTATGTGCTAGCGCTTCCTTTATTGCAATGTGCGTGCAACGGTTGTAATCGCGCGGAAAGTTAGGTGCCTCTCGACTCCCCGTGCGCGCCGCCATGGGTTCCGCGGAGGAGGCGGGGGGGCGGCATGTGGACCTCCGCCGAGCGGCGTCGGCGGGCGTGCTGCAGGCGGAGGACCGCGCGCACGCCGCGGCGGAGGCGCTGCAGCAGCACCGCGCGGACCAGCAACAGCAGCAGCCGGCGGCGCGCGCGCTGCCGGGGTGGGCGACGCGGCTGATCGACTACTTCGTGGTGTGCGGGCTGGGCGCGGAGGTGCGCACCATGGACGGCCAGCGCGGCTTCCACGGCGTCACGGCGCGCGACGGCGACCCCGTGCTGTACCAGCCGCAGATGACGCCGCTCGACTTCTACCCTCCCAAGGAGCACAAGAAATTCGGCGTCCCCGAGGGCCTCCCCATGGTGCGTCCCCGAGGGCCTCCCCATGGTGCGCCGCTCCGCGCGCCCTCCGCCGCCTGCCCATGCTGAGCGTCCCTCCCTCCCCGCGCTCCTACACGCCCCATTCCCCCCTGTCATCCCCTCGCATCTCGCCCCCATCTTCGGCCGTTTGCATGCGATGCCTTGCTTTTTTTCTCCTCCTCTTGCGATCTCATCTCACCCATTCCTCTTCTCTCGTTCCCCTCCTTCCTCCCACTCCACAATTCTTGCAATCCCTCCCTCCTCCATTGCCTCCCCCACTCCCTCTCTTCCTCCCTCCCTCCCTCCCTTCCTGCCTCCCTCTCTCCTTCCCTCCCTCCTTCCATCTCTCCCGCCCTCCGTCCCTCCCTCTTTCCTTCCCACCTCCCTTCTCCTCCTCCCCTCCCCTCTCCTCCCCTCCCATCTCCTCCCCTCCCTCTCCTCCCGTCCCCTCTCCTCGACTCCCGCTCCTCCCCTCCCCTCCCCTTTACTCTCCTGCCTCCCCTCCGCTCCCCTCCCCTCGCCCATGGCAACTCACCGTCCGCCCTATTCCCCCTGGGCGAGCAGGTGGTGATGCCGCGGGGGCTGCGCTTCTACGAGCGAGGGCCGTTCTCCGGCGACAAGAGCACGCAGCCGCGCTCCTACCCCATGGTCATCACAGGTGGGTGGGTGGGTCATCACAGGTGGGTGGGTGGGTCATCACAGGTGGGAGGATGGGTCATCACAGGTGGGTGGATGGGTCATCACAGGTGGGAGGATGGGTCATCACAGGTGGGTGGGTGGGTCATCACAGGTGGGTGGGTGGGTCATCACAGGTGGGTGGGTGGGTCATCACAGGTGGGTGGGTGGGTCATCACAGGTGGGTGGGCGGGTCCTCACAGGTGGGTGGGTGGGTCATCACAGGTGGGTGGGTGGGTCATCACAGGTGGGTGGGTGGGTCATCACAGGTGGGTGGGTGGGTCATCACAGGTGGGTGGGCGGGTCATCACAGGTGGGTGGGTGGGTCATCACAGGTGGGTGGGTGGGTCATCACAGGTGGGTGGGTGGGGCATCACAGGTGGGTGGGTGGGTCATCACAGGTGGGTGGGTGGGTCATCACAGGTGGGTGGATGGGTCATCACAGGTGGGTGGGTGGGTCATCACAGGTGGGTGGGTGGGTCATCACAGGTGGGTGGGTGGGTCATCACAGGTGGGTGGGCGGGTCCTCACAGGTGGGTGGGTGGGTCATCACAGGTGGGTGGGTGGGTCATCACAGGTGGGTGGGTGGGGCATCACAGGTGGGTGGGTGGGTCATCACAGGTGGGTGGGTGGGTCATCACAGGTGGGTGGATGGGTCATCACAGGTGGGTGGGTGGGTCATCACAGGTGGGTGGGTGGGTCATCACAGGTGGGTGGGTGGGTCATCACAGGTGGGTGGGTGGGTCATCACAGGTGGGTGGGTGGGTCATCACAGGTGGGTGGGCGGGTCATCACAGGTGGGTGGGTGGGTCATCACAGGTGGGTGGGTGGGTCATCACAGGTGGGTGGGTGGGGCATCACAGGTGGGTGGGTGGGTCATCACAGGTGGGTGGGTGGGTCATCACAGGTGGGTGGATGGGTCATCACAGGTGGGTGGGTGGGTCATCACAGGTGGGTGGGTGGGTCATCACAGGTGGGTGGGTGGGTCATCACAGGTGGGTGGGTGGGTCATCACAGGTGGGTGGGTGGGTCATCACAGGTGGGTGGGCGGGTCATCACAGGTGGGTGGGTGGGGCATCACAGGTGGGTGGGTGGGTCATCACAGGTGGGTGGGCGGGTCATCACAGGTGGGTGGGTGGGTCATCACAGGTGGGTGGGTGGGTCATCACAGGTGGGTGGGTGGGTCATCACAGGTGGGTGGGTGGGTCATCACAGGTGGGTGGGTGGGTCATCACAGGTGGGTGGGTGGGTCATCACAGGTGGGTGGGTGGGTCATCACAGGTGGGTGGGTGGGTCATCACAGGTGGGTGGGTGGGTCATCACAGGTGGGTGGGTGGGTCATCACAGGTGGGTGGGTGGGTCATCACAGGTGGGTGGGTGGGTCATCACAGGTGGGTGGGTGGGTCATCACAGGTGGGTGGGTGCACGGGGAATGAATGGACAGGAAATAGAGCAAGGTCACTCAAGGAGTAGGGCCGTTACCCTGCAAGCACTGCACCACGCACATGAGGCCATCATGGGATGCCATGCTCTGCGCTGCCAATGCTGCCCGCTCCACCACTTATTGCGGGTCCCTCCCTCGCGCCCATTCCCCTTCCCCCTTGGACCAGACACGGTGGGGACCAAGGAGTATGTGACGGTGGTTGCGTTCAGGGACCCGGTGGAGGACGTGCGTTGAGTCGACTCAAGAGTCACCTTCAGTCACCACATCAACCCCTCCCCTCCCGCCTCCCCCTTGTTGCACGCCCCTTCCCTGCGCCGCTCCCCCCCTCCCCCGCCCTGGGTGCAGACATGGTGGGGACGAAGGTGTATGTGACGGTGGTGTCGTTCCGGGACCCGGTGGAGGAGGGTCGACTCAAACCTCCCCTTCCTTCCTCCCTCTCTTTCCTCCCACCTTCCCCTCCCCCTTGGCCCTCCCCCCCTCCCAGACACGGTGGGCACCAAGGTGTACGTAACAGTGGTGGCGTTCAGGGACCCGGTGGAGGAGGACGTGGCGGAGGCGTACAGCATCCCCGCCTCCCCACACCAAGCTCCTCCCCTGTCGCACTTGTCCCCCACCTTCCCCCTCTCCCCCAGACACGGTGGGCACCAAGGTCTATGTAACAGTGGTAGCATTTCGCGACCCGGTGGAGGAGGACGTGGCAGAAGCGTACGGCATCCCCGCCTCGCACTACGTCGACAAGTGCCTGTGCCTCGTGTCCCACTGGCCCTTCTTCCACACCTTCACCCAGGCGTTAGAGGAGATCCACCGCATGTGCTTCTGCACCGCCGGCTGCACGTGAGGCAGGGGGGTCAGTAGGGTCAACGGGGGGTCAATGGGGGGTCAACGGGGGCAATTGGGGGTGGGTGCCTGTGCCTCGTGTCCCACTGGCCCTTCTTCCACACCTTCACCCAGGCGTTAGAGGAGATCCACCGCATGTGCTTCTGCACTGCTGGCTGCACGTGAGGGAGAGGAGTCAATGGGGTCAATGGGGTCAATGGGGGTTCAATGGGGGGTTAACAGGGGCAACGGGGGCGATTGGGAGTGGGGGTCTGTGCCTTGCTCAACACTGGCCTTTCTTCCACACCTTCATACCTTGGTGCTTGAGGAATTCCACCGCATGTGCTTCTGCACTGCCAGCTGCACGTGAGAGGCCAGCGGGGGGGGGGGGCAAGTCCATGGAGTCAAGGGGGTCAGGGGTCTAAAAGGGGGGCAATGGGGCGTAAGGGGAGTGGGTGGCAGTCAGTCAGTGGGGTCAATGTGGTGATCTCATTGTAGCCTGGACAGTGGAGTCAGAGGGGTCAGACACAAGGTGAGTGTGGTCAATGGTATGGTGTGCCTCGATGCCGGTGCTGCAGTGTCCTGATCACCCACCCGACCTCCACCACCACCTCTCATCCACGTCCACCTGCTGCCTCCTCCACCCCCCTCCGCCCTCCCCCACCCCCACAGGCAGCCGGTGTGGGACACGGTGCAGCACCTGGTGACGGCAGTGCCACTGCCCTCACCCGGGCAGCGGTCAGTGGTGTTCTCCGTGGAGAAGTGCCTGCTCTCCCCCCCTTTCCTCCCCCTTACCCGTCTGCTCTCCCCCCTCCCCCCCACAGGCAGCCGGTGTGGGACACGGTGCAGCACCTGGTGACGGCAGTGCCTCTCCCCGAGCCCGGGCAGCGGTCCGTCGTCTTTTCCGTGGAGAAGTGCCTGCTCTTCTGCGAGGCTCCGCCGCCCGCCACGCTGCCAGCTGTGCAGGTGAGGCTCACAGGGGGCATGGGGGATGAGATGAGGGCATGGGGGGCATGGGGAGATGTTGGCCATGCAGCCATGGGGGCGGGCATGGGCGACCTGGGGGGCGTGGGGCAGGCAGGGCGCATGGAGGGCCAGGGGGCATGGAGGGGCAGGGGGCATGGAGGGGCAGGGGGCATGGAGGGGCAGGGGGCATGGAGGGGCAGGGGCCAGGTTGCATGAGGGGGCAGGGGGCATGGGGGGATGCGCTACTGCTCGTGTGAGACTGGGGGCACGGGAGCTGATTGCCTTTTGCTTCCCATCCCATCCCTGCCACTCCCCCATGTGTCCCCCCATGTGTTTCCCCTTGCCACGTCCTGTGTGTGTGGCATGCGGTGGCATGTGCCATCAGCTGTCGTTCCACCCGTTGGTGCGCAGCCTCGATGTGGACAACATCATTCTGCTCGTCACCGCCGTGCTGCTTGAGAAGCGCATCCTCCTCCGCGCCACCCAGTGAGTGCGCTGCCTGCCAGGTCACTGCCGCCCAGTGAGTGCCGCCCAGTGAGTGCCGCCCAGTCAGTGCCGGCCGCTCCATGCGCAACCTCTCCCCAGCGAGTGTGGGAGCGGAGCCACCCGGCACGTGGATTCAACTGTCCCTTCACCTCCTGCTCGCGCATCCCCACCCCCCTCCCCATTCTCCTTCTCTGCATGCATGCCCTTTCCCTCGGTCAATGCATGTGCCAGCTCTCACCTCCCATCGCATGTGTAAAGGCCAAATTGAATGCCTTTCTTCTTTTCTCTCGCTCTCGTTCTCCCGCACGCCATGCAGGTACGAGCTGCTCACGCTGGTGGCGGAGTCCGTGTCGCACCTCATCTACCCCTTCAAGTGGGCGGTGAGCCAACTGCACCGCACTGCACCACACCGCACCACCGTGCATGTGCTTGGAATGACACATGTATCCGTACATGCATTTGCTTGGGATGGACGGACGCATACATACCGCCCACTTCTCCCGTTACTGCCTCTCCTCTCCCTCTCTTCCCCACCACTCCGCCGACATCCCCCATCTCGCTAGTTTTCCTTCACTCTCTCTCCGCCGTACTCGCTGTTACTCGCCACCCTCACCAACCCCCCCCCCCTCCCCGCCCCCCGCAGTACCCCTACACGCCCGTGCTGCCACTCAACAAGCTGGAGCTCGTGCACATGCCGGGAAGCTTCCTGTTTGGCATCGTGCCCACGCGGTGGACGGACCACGACCTGCCGGGCGGGGTGAGTGACGTTATGAGTGCGTCAAGGGCTTGGCTCAGTGGGTCACCCAGGGCCACACACCTCGGCCTTGGGGCTCCCCTGTAGACACTCGTCAACGTTCACGGCTAAGGGCTTGGAGAATTGAGGTTCAGGGATGAAGGTTGTGTGCAATGCGGATGCCAAGCCTTGTTGTGGGCAGCTGCCTGCAACGCGTGCGTGCCATAGCATGGCAGCACCAGCACCTCATGGGGGCACATCCATCCATCCATGGCCCCATGCCTGCTCTCATGCACCTCCCCTCGCCCTCCCTTGTCTGCCATGTCGTGTCATGCTGCTCACTCGCGCACGTCCTTACCCCTCCTTTTCCCCCTTTGCCCCGCCCGCCGTCATGTGTGTGTGTGTGTGTGTGTGTGTGTGTGCATGCGTATGTGCGCGCGCGCGTGCGTGTGCGTGTGCGTGTGCGTGTGTGTGTGTGTGTGTGTGCGTGCGTGCGTGCGTGCGTGCGTGCGTGCGTGCGTGCGTGCGTGCGTGCGTGCGTGCGTGCGTGCGTGCGCGTGTGTGTGTGTGTGTGTGTGTGTGTGTGTGTGTGTGTGTGTGTGTGTGCTCTCTATGTGTGTGTGCGTGCACGGGGCAGGTGATGGTGGTGGACCTCGACGCCAACCGCATTGCCATCACCACCAGCGGCTTATGAGTCGACTCACAAGTCACCTCCCCTCTCCGATCTCCCCCGTCCTCTGTGTGTGTGTGTGTGCGTGCGTGCACGGGGCAGGTGATGGTGGTGGACCTAGACGCCAACCGCATTGCCATCACCACCAGCGGCTACGACGACGACGCCGACACCATCCCCCCCCTGCCCGAGCCCGAGAACACGCAGGTGCGCGCCAACCGCATTGCCCGAGCTTGAATACACTCAGGTATGCTCTCTGGCGGGTGCGGGTGGGGGAACACGGGGTGCGGGGATGAGCGGGAGAGGGGGCAAGGGTTGCAGGATCGCCCTTCCACTCTCATGTTCCAAACCTTCTGCCTCGCTTATCCGACCCTGCAGGTTCGGGAGGCGCTGCTGCAGCTGGTGGCGCCGGACCTGATGGCGCTGGACCAGGCTCGGACGCGCGACTTCAGCTGCGACCTGCACAAGTTCCGCCGGCCCTGGGGGCGCCTGCACGACCGCGAGATCCGGTGAGGGCAAGGGGGGGACGTCTGAGTCGACTCAAAAGTCACAAGTTCAGATGGCCCTGGGGCCGCCTGCACGACCGCGAGATCCGGTGAGGGCAAGGGGGGGACGTCTGAGTCGACTCAAAAGTCACAAGTTCAGATGGCCCTGGGGCCGCCTGCACGACCGCGAGATCCGGTGAGGGCAAGGGGGGGACGTCTGAGTCGACTCAAAAGTCACAAGTTCAGATGGCCCTGGGGCCGCCTGCACGACCGCGAGATCCGGTGAGGGCAAGGGGGGGACGTCTGAGTCGACTCAAAAGTCACAAGTTCAGATGGCCCTGGGGCCGCCTGCACGACCGCGAGATCCGGTGAGGGCAAGGGGGGGACGTCTGAGTCGACTCAAAAGTCACAAGTTCAGATGGCCCTGGGGCCGCCTGCACGACCGCGAGATCCGGTGAGGGCGGTTGGGAGGAAGGAGGAGGGGAGATGCTGTATGGTGGGGTGATGAGGTGTGGTGAGGGCGCCGGGGGGGGGGGGGGGGGGGGGGGGGAGGGGGAGAGTGGCTGCACGACCGCGAGGTCCGGTGAGACGGGTGGGGGAGGAAAGGGAAGGGGGGATGCTTTGTGGTGGTGAGGTGATGATGCATGGTGAGGGTGCTGGGGGGCACCTGCACGACCGCGAGATCTGGTGAGGGCAAAGGGGGGACATGCGGTGACTTGGTGGTGGTGCAGGAGGTATGATAATGAGAGTGAGCGTGATTGCTGCTGTGCTGTGCAGTTCTGTGCTCTCCACCGCCTGCCTCAGTTCACTCTCTCCCCTCCCCGCCCCCCCCTCCCTACCCTTCTGTCCCTGCCCTTCCGTCCCGCCCGCCAGGTTAATATTCTTTCGCTTCTTCGCCTCCATCCTCTGCAGCTACAGACATTTTGTGGTACGATGCAGTGTCATGTGGTGCGATGCAGTATGATGCGGTGCCTGCAGTGTGATGTGGTGCCATACGCATGCGGTATGGAGCTGTTTCTTCTGGTGGCCTCGGTTGTTGCTCATGCCATGCTGTTGCTATTCCCTGCATCACTGCCTCCCATGCTGCAACATACATGCTCGTGTGCTGCACACCCCGCTCTCGCTGCCTCTGTGCTTGAGCTGCGCAGGACAAGGTGGTGGAGCCGTCGGGGCATGCGAAGTCGACGTTCAACAAGGCCAGCTTCTGAGGTGCCTCAAAAGTCCCATCCTCCCCCTCCCCACCGCTCCCCCTCTCCTCCCCCTGCGCCCTGACCTGGCAGGACAAGGTGGTGGAGCCATCGGGGCATGTCAAGTCGACGTTCAACAAGGCCAGCTTCTTCCGCAAGCGAGCCAAGGTCACCGGCAACACGGAGGAACCACTCGTGAGTGCCGCACACGGGAGGGAGGGGCACGGCTGTGCACCCACAGATATCACAGCTGCTACACACGCAGTGCTGGCAGCAATTCCTGGACAGCAGCAGCAGCGGCTGCAGAGGCAGCAGTGGCACGGCCTCTTTCTTTGACCGAGTGCTGGTGGAGCTGGAGCGCCGTGACATCGCCACCCGCCTCGAAACATTCTTTGCCCCCCTTCACATCCCCACTGCACACCCCTTCATCCACGCACCTCCCCCTACACGTCCTCTCCCCCCCCCCCTTCTTGCACGCACAGATATCGCAGTTACTGCACACGCAGTGCTGGCAGCAGTTCCTGGACAGCAGCAGCAGCGGCGGCGGCAGCACGTCCTTCTTTGACCGAGTGCTGGTGGAGTTGGAGCGACTCGACATCGCCACCGGCCCCGCCATGGCCACGGTGGACCTCGCTGACGACGACGGGGCACAGGAAATTATTACTGTTCCGCCTCCCACGCCTAAAGGTGCGCCTCCTATGTCTAAAGGTGCGTGCCTCCTGGGGGGGGGGAATGGTTCGGCATGGAGCTGGAGCGGCTGGACATTGCCACGGGCCCCGCCATGGCCACGGTGGACCTCGCTGATGATGATGGGGCGCCTGAGATCATCACCGTGCCGCCTCCCACGCCTAAAGGTGCGCGCCTGTATGCTTGGGGACGGGGGGAGAGGGGGGGGTGGCAGGCAGCAGGCAGCAGGAGCAGCAGCAGCGGTACAGCTTTCTTCTTTGACCGAGTGTTGGTGGAGGTGGAGAGGCTCGACATCGCCACCACGCCCGCCATGGCCACTGTGGACCTGCCTGATGATGATGGGGCGCCTGAGATCATCATCACTGTTCCGCAGCCCACGCCCAAAGGTGTGTGGCTGGGCACCTGAGGGGTGCGGAATGGCAGGGAGCACGCATCAGGCAGCAGTGTTGCCTGAACGCTCACCCTTGTGCCTTCAGAGCACCCTTTTGGCACCCTCTGCACCCTCATTTCAAACCCTCTTCACCGTTACACCCCCTTTTCAAACCCCCTTCCGTTCTAAACTTCACCATCTTTCCCGCTCCTAACACACCTCTCCCCTCGTCCGTTCTCGTGTGTGGCAAAGCGGGCAGGGGGGCGATACCTAAGTGGGAATATACGCGTTTAGCGTATATATGCGTATCGTATATACGCTAGCGTATATACGCTATCCGCTTAGGGGTTCGGTTTGGAGATACGCTTTTTCGGGCAGAGAAAAAACTTTCCGGGCAGGTGAAAAAAGTACTCCCTATTCTTACTAAGGCTTGCCCTAGCATAATCCCGAATCCGAATGACTAGTACAACGGGAGGTGGAGTAGACCTAATAGCGAAGTAGTGTGAACTTTGGTGAAAGCGGGAACGAAATGACGAGTTAGGGTTAGCCAACAGGGTTGGCTGGTGAGTACCGTGAGATTTGTTGGGGGGTTAGAGCGTGTTACATCTGCCCTATTTTCAAGGATCACGTAGCTGAGATCACCAACACCCCAACCGTAGGATTCAGAGTGGTCAAACAACAAGTTTTTGGGGCACATCACGATCCTTGTTGGTGTACCATCTGCAAAATTGCAGTGGTGATCCTCTGCGACCAGGCGACGTCGCCTGAAACTACGCGACAGTCGCGATTTTTGGATATGTTCATTGACCATGTTGACTGCGTTACTGGCGCGAATTCAACAGCCTCATTGGTTCGAATTCCATCAAAAGAATGCTCTGATTAGTTGCGAGCTTGTTACAGAAAATTGCGACATAAAACTTTTCGTCGTCAAGGATCACCCTGTCTTTGGTACAATGATGCAGTCACCATGATCTCTCGGTAAACACCAAGATCGGGTAGCGTCGGGAACTCGTGATTTCGATCCTTCCTCTGTTGGTACATCACCTGACACAGTGATTACTGTAGAGTGGTAGGTATGACACTGTTCCGCAAGGATCGCCTGCGCGATCCTCAAAATGCAGCAATCTTTGCTTGGGTGTAACACGCTCTTAATTTTGACAGGTTGGAGTTTGTAGATAAAGTGGAGTTCGATGCGGTAGAAGGGATGGTTTCCAATCCCTAGATGGGATCTGAAATTCAAGGTTTGCCAGACGACTTCGAAGTCAGATCCCCGTTTGCCTAGACCGCGGATTTGAATTTCGACTATGGCAAAATGCTCACCTAGGAAATCCGCATCTATTTCGCGATTTTTTTTCGGGCAGCCCTAAAAATTTTCTGATAGCGTATAGCGTATTCGCTAGCGTATAGCGTATAGCGTATGTACGCTAGCGTACATACGCTATACGCTTAAGGTGTTAAGCGTAAATTCCCACTAAGGGCGATACACGCACCGGGCGTTCCCTTCATTGGAGCGCAGTGCGGAGGAGAAGCAGCGGCGCTGCTTTTGAGTCGACTCATAGGTCATCCCACACCCCCCCTTTCCCCCATGGCAGAGCGGGCCGCGGGGCGGTACACGCACCGGGCATTTCCCTCATTGGAGCGCAGTGCGGAGGAGAAGCAGCGGCGCTACGAGTTCCTGCAGCAGGTGCGACTCGCCGCCGACGCCCAACACAACTCCGAGGCGCGCCGCGTCATGAGGTGAGCTGCGCTGCTGTGAGAGTTGTGTGTGATCCGGTTGGGTTTGGTATTCGCAAAACTGTTCAATGTGGTTGAGGGGAGGGGGGAAGAGGGGAGTTGGGGGTTGTATTTCTGGTTTGTGTGTTTTGCTGAGTGCTGAGTAACTTCCAGAGCGCCAATTTCAATGCACATGTGACGCCGCGCAGCGACGCGGGGCATACGGCGTTGGGAGGTGCATTGCAGGGCGTGCATGTGGGGTAGTGCATTGTAGTGCGTGGGTGGTGACATGAGTGCAGGGGTACTGCTGGGAGATATGGCAGGGCAGGTTGGAGAGGGGATGGGCGCAGCAGTGCATAAGGGGTGGGTTGGTGGGGCACCTCAATCTTGAGTCTGTTGTTCTCCGCATGGTCCTTGCTCCTCATCCGACCTCTCACCTCCCACCGCACACTGCACACTGCACACTGCACACTGCACACTGCACACTGCACACTGCACACCATCATCCTCTCTGCACCTTCCTTGTACCGCCTTCCCTCCTTTCCTCGCACCTTCCCTGGCGTGCCGCCTCTCATCTGCCACTCTTTCCCCTCTCTGTGTTCCTCCTTGCCGCCCCTGTTGTCCCGGGCGCCCCTCCCTACATGCGGCGTGGGCATGGGCATGGCATGGGCGGGGCGGGGGGCAGTTCGGATGTGGAGGAGGCGGTGGTGCTGGAGGAGAGGAGCCGCGGCACCAACAGACTGCGTGAGCAGGAGGTGTGCAGGGGGATTGGGGGGAGGGAGGGGTTGGGTTGGTTGGGGAGTGAGGGGGAAGGGATGTGGTGGTTGGAGTGTTGGAGGCATCGCATAGCCTTACCGTTTCATTTTCCCAACCACGGATATGTCAAGCAAGCAGGCTCATGGCTACTGCCACTGTTGCTGCACCCTCATTCTTCCCTCTCGCTCGCTCGTTCTTCCGCCATCGCACCCTTCCCTCCCCTCGCACCCTCACTCTTCCCCTTCCTTCCCCTCTTCCCCCTCCTCACCTCTCATTCTGCTGCCTCCCCCCTCACCCACTCATCACACCCTCCCCCTATTTCGTTCCCCGTGCCGCTCTCAACCCCTCTGAACCCCCTTTGTGTGTGCTGCTCTCCCCCACGTGCTGCCCACCAGGAGCGCGATGCCATGGTGGGCGCCATCAAGGGCAAGTTCTCCGTGAGTGCCCCGCTGCTGCTCCTCCTCCTCCTCACCACCACCTGTCCCCCACCCCACTGCCGTGCTCTCGGTTGCTCCACTCCCTCCCGCCCCTGCCCACTTGCCCATGCGACATGCCATGCATGCTCTGCTGCCTGTCCTGTTTTTTGCCACGCCACTTGTTCCACACGTACTCTTCTGCTTTCTCTCCGACCCCCTGCTGTCTCACTGCCCGCGCCTTCCACGTTCCCCTGTTCCCTGCCCCCTGCCCCTACGCCCTTCCCCTGTTCCCTTCCCGCTGCCCCTGTGCCCCTGTGTCGTTCCCCTACCTCCTGCCCCCGGGGAGCAGAAGCTGTGGGACCAGCTGCTGGCACTGCCGCCTGATGAGGAGCCGCTGTCATCGCGGGAATACGGCACAATATACGGTGAGCTGCTGTGTGTGGGCAGTGGGCATGGCAATGCAAGGCTGCAGGAGCAAGGTCGTCATGACTGCTGCCCACGGCAGCACCGCCTTCCTCAGCAACATGTCACACTGGCTGCTTCGCTTGCTGCACTCACGCCTCCATTCTCTTCTCCCTTCCTCATCGTATCCCCTCTCTCAGCACTTGCCATGACCTGCCTCTTCTGTAGAACACTTTTGCTGTCCTCCTCCTGCCATGTCCCTGGCTGTGTCGCCTTCATCATTTCTCACTTCATCCCCCCATGTCCCCATGCCCCCATGCCCGCTTGCCTCACATCCCTTGCTGTGCTCCTCATTATCCTTATCCTTCTCTCCCCTTGCCTCGCTTGCTCATCCTCACCGCACCGCACCGCACCACACTGCACACCTGTGGGGCATGGCAGCGATGATGGAGGACGAGGATGGAGTGGGGAGCTCTGGCTTCATGGAGGTGCTACAGGACAAACTACAGTCCAAGGTGGGCGGCACTCCTATCCAGAATGGGCGGCATAGCCTTAGGATGAACGTACAATCGACGAGCTGTTTACACCTTTCCTGCATGCCCCATTTGGTCTGACCTCCTCCCATCTTCGTTCCCATGCTCACGCCCTTCCCCTCCCTCCCATGTTCACTCTGCATTCCACCTTCTCCCCACCTTCTCTGCCACACTCGTCCCCGTCTGCACCCCTTCTCTCTGGCCCATCCTTTGCTACTGCGCTGCGCTCTCCTCTCCCCTACGCCCCTCTGCCCTCTGTGTGTCTGCTGGTTGTCCTGTTTGTGGGCGTGCAGGCGTGGGGCGGGGAGCTCAAGGCGGATCTCTTTGTGGCTGTGCGCGAGCTGGTGAGCGCCTGGGCCGCTGCCATGAGGGAATGGGGGGAAAGGGGAAAAGGGAGGATGAGAAGGAATGGGTGTGGGGTGTAGGGCGTGGGGCGGCGACTCAAGGCAGACCTCTTTGTGGCTGTGCGCGAGCTGGTGAGGGCCTGGGCCTGGGGCGCTGCCTCCAGTGGTGGTGGGGAGTGGGTGGGAAGGGGGAGGGGAGAAGAAGGTGAATATGAGGGATGGGAAAGGACGGGCTGAGTGGCACATGAGTTGCAACATGGAGGCAAGTTCTGAATCAACTGTCTGTGCATTCCCCCTCCCCTGGATACCCTTGCCCTCCCCGCTTCCACGCTCATCCCGTGCCTCCCACTCACGCACTCGCTGTTTGCAACACTGCTACTCGTTCCCCTTCCCGCACTCCCCAAATTCATCGCTCTTCCCTGTGCCCTCCCACCCTCCAGGTGGTGTTATCAATATCCCGTGCCGCCATGCGCAGTGACATGCAGTCGGTGCTGGCAGCATTGGAGCTTGCGGGGAGGGTGCACCAGAGGGACGATATAGCGGGCCAGTTACCTTCTATCCCCCCCTTCCCCCCCTCCCCACCCCCCCAGGTGGTGCTATCGATATCCCGTGCCGCCATGCGCAGTGACATGCAGTCGGTGCTGGCAGCATTGGAGCTTGCGGGGAGGGTGCACCAGAGGGACGATATAGCGGGCCAGTTACCTTCTATCCCCCCCTTCCCCCCCCTCCCCACCCCCCCAGGTGGTGCTATCGATATCCCGTGCCGCCATGCGCAGTGACATGCAGTCGGTGCTGGCAGCATTGGAGCTGGCAGGGAGGGTGCACCAGAGGGACGGGGCGGGCCACAAGGACACCGTGCTCCGACACATCGGCGCGCTGCCCATCTGGAAGGACTTCCGGTGCTGCCCTGCTGCCCTGCTGTCCCATTTGCCACACACACGCCCCTCACCCCCCTCTCACGCCCCCCGCACTTGCGTCTGACACCCCTCTCACAAGCATTCGGCCTTTCCACACCCCACAGCTTGTCACCGGGAGCCCCTCTTGTCCCTGTTGCTCCCCGTTCTCACCCCATCTTGTCCCATATGCTCCGTCTGTGAAGCCCTCTGGCAGCCATTGCGCATAGTCTCTTGCCCCATCTCACACTCCCCCCTTCCTCCCACTCCCACCACCAACTTTCATGGTTTGGCCTTTCATTCATGGCACTCACATCTCATGGTCTCTCCACCGCATCTCACCTCATTCCACCGCACTGGGGTGGGCTGGCAGGTTCTGGAAGACGTATCACGACACGCAGCTCGAAGTCAACCCCGACTTGTACGCCCACCACTCACCCCCTCGCCCTCGACCCCTCGCCCTCACCTGCCTCCTGCTCGTGCCAATCCCCGCTTGCCCTGCTCTCGCCTTCCCCCTGCTCTCGCCTTCCCCCTGCTCTAGCGCTCCGCATCTTTTCTCCCCTTCTTTTCATTCCCTGTCTCTGGCTTCCCTTCCCCTCTCCTTGTCTTCGCACTCACCCTGCTCGTACAACCGCGCCCTGCCTCATTCGTTGTGCTGCGCTGCGCTGTACGCGTTGCCTCTGCTTGCGTCTGTCTGTGCATGTGTGCCGGTTTGTCTGGTTGCATGCTTGCATGTGTGGATATGTGTGGATATGTGTGGATGTGTCTGTGCGTGCATGGGTGCATGTGTGTGTGTTTTTATGGGTGTATTGGTGCATGGGTGCGTGGGTGCATGTGTGCATGGTTGCATGTGTGCATGGGTGCTTGGGTGCATGTGTGCATGGGTGCATGTGTGCATGGTTGCCATGTGTGCATGGTTGCATGCTTGCATGGGTACATGCTTGCATGGGTACATGCTTGCATGGGTGCGTGCATGTGCACATGGCTGTATCCCCCCTTCCCACCGCACCAACCAGTGAGGGCAAGGTGGCGGATCTGGTGCAGCAGCTGCTGGGGGGGCTCGCTCAAGTCATGGTCAGCCCCTCCCCTCCCCTCCCCTCCCCTCCCCTCCCCTCCCCTCCCCTCCCCTCCCCTCCCCTCCCCTCCCCTCCCCTCCCCTCCCATCCCCTCCCCTCCCGCCCTCGACTTCTCGCATCATCCCCATCTCGCATCATGCCCATCTCGCATCATGCCCATCTCGCATCATGCCCATCTCGCATCATGCCATCTCGCATCATGCCATCTCGCATCATGCCCATCTCTCACTCCACTTAACTTGTCTCTTCCACTCCCCTCCCACTTCCTCTGCCCCACCCATCCTCCCCCCCACGTGTGCACCCATGGGAGGGGAGCGCAGGCGGAGATGGGGCTGGTGGATGGGGACGCGTGGGCCATGCTCGAGGTGCTCTCCAGCCGCCTCAGCCTCAAACGCCAGGTGCGCTGCTCAGCCTCAAACGCCAGGTGCGCTGCTCAGCCTCAAACGCCAGGTGCGCTGCTCAGCCTCAAACGCCAGGTGCGCTGCTGGCAGGGAAAAATGAAGGATTAAGGAGAAGGCCTGATGCCATGGAATGCATCACGGGTATACGTAGGAGAGGGCAGTGGGATCATCCTCAGTCTGTCTCACTACTACTCCACATGTCCATGTGTCGGGATCAAGTGTTGCCTCTGCCATGGAAACTCTTCATCTCCATCTTCTTCCCTGCTCCACCGCACTCCCACGCCATTTCTCACTCACCTCTTCCCCGTATCCTCGCTCCCTCTCTCCGCCCGCCCCTGCCTGCTCTCCCCTCCCCTTGCATACCCACCAGATAGTGCTGCGTGGCCAGCTGGCATTGCTGCAGCGCGCATGGCAGTACTACCCACTCTCGCCCACCTCGCCTCTCTTCTCCGCCACCTTCGCTCGCCACACACACGCCGCCCCCGGCGCCGCGGAGGAGGGCGGGGGCGAGGGCGCGGGTGGCGGGGGGACGGGCAGCGAGAGCCAGCTGACAACGGCGCTGGGGACGGCGGCGGGGCGGTGGATGAGCACACTGGGGAACCTCAACCTGGGCACCTTCCAGAAGCAGCAGCAGGACAAATTGTTGCAAGGCGGTGGGGGATCTCAGCGCATCGGAGGTGCGTGGCAGAGAGTGCGAAGGCACGTGAGAAAAGAAGTTTCTTAAGAGTCTCAAACACTACTTTGAGCACACTGGGGAACCTCAACCTGGGCAACTTCCAGAAGCAGCAGCAGGACAAATTGTTGCAAGGCGGTGGGGGGTCTCAGCGCATCGGAGGTGCGTGGCAGAGAGTGGGAAGGCACGTGAGAAAAGAAGTTTCTTAAGAGTCTCAAACACTACTTTGAGCACACTGGGGAACCTCAACCTGGGCACCTTCCAGAAGCAGCAGCAGCAGGACAAGCTGCTGCAGGGGGGAGGGGGGTCCCAGCGCATCGGAGGTGAGTTGTCCGGCAGGAGCGGGCGGGGGTGCTGGCAGGGAGGTGGATGGATGAGCACACTGGGGAACCTCAACCTGGGCAACTTCCAGAAGCAACAGCAGGACAAGCTGCTGCAGGGGGGAGGAGGCTCTCAGCGCATCGGAGGTCTGTGGCTGGGGGAGAGGGAGCAGGGCAGAGGGAGGGGGGGAAATGGTCTCCGCTAGGAATTTTTCTCTTTCTCTCTCTCTTTCTTTCTCGGGCTTTTGGTTGAACCCGGAGATCTGGCAGGAGGAGTGCTGTGTGTTGTTGCTGCTCCGTTCGGCATGTGTGCGGAGCACCAGCTGTCTGCTCGGCTCTTGACATTTGCCCGCACTCCTCACTCCCTACATCGTCTCACACCCTCCTCTCCTCCCCTCCCCTACCCACAACCCCCGCTCTTCCTTGGTACGCGCACAGTGTTTGACTCAGAAGGCGGCAAGGAGCGAGCAGGGGTGCCGGGGTCCAAGTCATTGCGCCACTCACACGCGCAGGGGAGGGGCGCCACGGGGGTGCGCGTGCTGCGCGGGCACAAGCAGCCAATCACAGCGCTCCACGCGGGCACGCGCAGCGAGCTGGGCGACCTGCTGCCGGACGGCGAGGACGGCGCGGGGTACTTTGTGAGCGGCAGCTGCGATACGAGTGTAAAGCTGTGGGACCCCAGCACCCGGGGGGACGAGCTGCGCGCCACCATGCACGGCCACACTGGGTGAGGCGCGGTGCTGTGTGGTGGGAGGTGCCGATTGTGTGGGGTGTGAGGATGGGTGGCTGGCAGGTGCGAGGGTGCAATTGTGTGAGATGCAAGGACAGGTGCAAGGACAGCGGGGTGCCAGGACAGCGGGGGAGAGTCCGTGTTGGCACCTCCCCTGCGTGGCCACTCTCCCACTGTTCGCCTCTTCACCCCACCAGCTTGCCCCTGTGCTCTCTCTTCCGACTTGATTTCTTTTTTCCCAACCCATGTTTTTTTCACGTGACCTAATTTCGCTTCTGCTACTGCGCCAGCTGCCTCCGTACCCACTGCCCTCCATCCTCCCCTCTCCCGTCACCTTCTTTGCGCCCTTCCCCCTGGCCTGCGTGGCAGCCCGGTGCGGTGTGTGGGGTCGGATGCAACGAGGGTGCTGTCAGGCGGGGATGACAAGCGCCTGCTGGTGTTTGACAAGGCCACTGCGCGCATGTTGGCGGACCTGCGCGGCCACCACCAAAGCGTACGTCGCCTACCCACCCCACCCTGCCCCGCCCCGTTCTGCCCCGCCCCGTTCTGCCCTGCCCCGCCCTGCGTCTGGCCACTGTGGGCTGTGCGTTGGGCTGCGTGTGCTCAAGTATTGCGAGCAAAGCAGTGTAGATAGGCTGTGTGGTGCTGTCAGGCGGCGATGAGATGACAAAAGAATGTTGGTGTTTGACAAGGCCACTGCGCGCATGCTGGCGGACCTCAGAGGCCACCACCAAAGTGTACGTCGCCCGCTCGTCCCGCCCCGCCCTGCCCCAAACCGCTGAGCACGAGTACTGTGGATAGGGGTGGAAAAAGTTGTCGTGTGGTGCTGCTGGGTATGGCTCTGGGTCTGTCTGCAACTTGTGCTCTTGGCACGTCACATGCCCGCCCTACATGCGCATGCACTCACATCCCCACATTGCACTCCATCTCATTCACTCTCCCACAATACTTTTTTCTCATCCCTCCCAATGTCCCATCATTCCCCTCCTCCCCCCTGCAGATAATCGCTCTCGCCCCACACCACTCTCTCCCTTTCCTTCCCGTTTTCCTGCCACTCCCCCCTCTGTACCCATCCCCCTGCCCACTCACTCCCCTGCGCTGCCGCCAGATAATCGCTCTGCGCATGCTGCCAGGGCTGAACAAGGGCAGTGTGGTAACAGCTGGGCGAGAGGGGCAGGTGAACCTGTGGGACACACGCACGGACCACATTGCCAGCACGCTCTTCACGTGCCCCGCGCCCCACTTGATCCTCGCCCTTGACTACCTCGACCATGCCGGCATCCTCGTTGCTGCTGGCACCCAGGGGTGCGTTGTCACGGCTGGGGGACGGGGAGAGGAGGGGGGATGGGAGGGGCGAGGATGTTTCAGTGCGGACAGGGGGGATGGTGTGAGGGGATTGGTTGGAGTGAGCAGAAGGGGGGTTGGTGGGTGACGGTTGTAGGGTGGGAGCAGGGCAGGGACTTGGCAGGAAGGGAGGCAAGTGTGGGAGGTGTTTAGTTCGTCTCTGTCGCCCTCTGCCTCCGTGCTACGCGCCGCACTCACCTCCCTCGCCTTCCTTGCCCCTCTCGCCTCTCTCAACCGCCCCTGTGCCTCTCCCCGTATCTTCCGTGCTGGCAGCATCTGCTATGTGTGGGATGTGCGGGCAGGCAAGGAGCGGTTTCAACTAGAAGGCCACACCAACTGGGTCAGGTAGGGGGCAACTGGGCCAAATAGGTGCGTAGGGAAGAAAAGCGTTTTCTATCTCAAATGCAGATGCGTCAATGCTGTGTGATGGCTGTTGAATGAGGTCGTCATGTGGTCGCTCTTGCTCAGCTCTCTATACCCATAGCCCCATCCAGATGCCCTCTCCCACTCCTCGTCCTGCCCAGCCGCAAGCAAGCCATCTTATGCACTTTGACTCGCACCTCCTCTTCTTCTCTTGCCTCCTCAACCACCCCTTCCACCCTCACCCATTCCCCTCTCCCCCAATACCGGTGCAATGCGGTGCAGAGCGGTGCGGGTGGCAGGGGACGTGGTGGTGACGGGCAGTGACGACTGGACGGCGAGAGTGTGGACACTGAACGACGGCGAGTGTGAGGCGACTGTAGCGTGCCATGCGGGGCCCGTCACGGCCGTGGACTACGTGACGGCATCACGTGGCTTCATCACCGGCTCGGCTGACTGCACCGTGCGCCTCTGGGACCGCGGTGATGGTGAGTGCTGCGCGTTATGGCACACAACCAGCTGCTGGGGGGTGCAGAGGCAGTGAGCGGGGTGCAATGGCGGGGTTGGACTCATGATGTCACGTGGATTCATCACGGGTTCGGCTGTCTGCACCGTGCGCCTCTGGGACCGCGGCGATGGTGAGTGCTGCTCAGCACAGCACAGCACGGCACACGACCAGCTGCTGTGAGGGCAGAGGAGGTGAGGCAACCCCTCACGCTCAACCCCTTGCCGCCCTGCCCGGCCCTACCTGCCCGCGCCACAGGGGTGCAGCCGCGGTGTGAGAAGACACTCACGAACCACACGGCGCCCATAGTGGCAGTGCGGGCGTCTGACTCGCTCTCCCTGCTGCACTGCCCCTTCCACCACTCACCTCTCCCACTTCCTCTTCTCTCCCTCCCCTCGCGCGCACTGTCCCTCTGCCCTGCCCTGCCTTGCCTGCCCTGGCCTGTGCTGCCCACACCACAGGGGTGCAGCCGCGGTGTGTGAAGACACTCACGAACCACACGGCGCCCATAGTGGCGGTGCGGGCCTCAGACCGCTACGTCACCATGGCAGCGGAGGACGACTCGCTCTCCCTGCTGCACCGCCCCTTCGCCGACCGCTCCTTGCCCTCGCTGGGCCCGCTGGGCGGGCCGGGCAGCATGAGCAACGGCGCGCGCGGCTACGTGGGCAGCGTGGGGGTGATGACGGACTGGCAGCTTGCCAGACACCTCAACCGCGCGCCCGACCTGGTGAGTACCGCCCCTTCGCCGACCGCCCCCCCACTCCAACTCGCCCTCGCTGCCCTCTGGGTGGGTCGGGCAGCATGAGCAATGCAGGGCGCGGCTACGTGGGCAGCGTGGGGGTGATGACGGACTGGCAGCTCGCCAGACACCTCAACCGTGCGCCAGACCTGGTGAGTACCGCCCCTTTGCCGACCGCGCCCCCCCTCCATCTCGCCCTCACTGCCGTCTGGGTGGGTCGGGCAGCATGGGCAATTGCGCGCGCGGCTATGTGGGCAGCGTGGGGGTTCATGACGGACTGACAGCTCGCCAGACACCTCAACCGTGCGCCAGACCTGGTGAGCGCTGCTCTCTCACACGTGCCCCCACGTGGCAAATGTCTGCCTGTGTGCATCAAGCATCCAGATCAGTGGGGACAAGCAGCACATGTGCTGCATGCCCGTGCATACTCAAATACAACCCACACGCCACCCGACTACCATTTACACCCACTAGTCCTGCCTTGTGAACTCTCATCCTCGTGTTGCCTTGTGTTGTGAATTCTCAAGGCAACCCCCCTGTGTGTTGTGCTGCATGCCCGCTGTGCCCTTGTGTGCGATGCAGATACGACATGCGGCATGTGATGTGGATCGCGGGCGTATCTGCACGGGCGCTCGGTCCGGAGTGCTGCGCGTGTGGGAGCCACCCACACCCCTCGCTTGACCCACCCACACCCCTCTCCAAAATCACCATCTGCTGTGACTCAAATACCTATGCATCTGGCTTCACTGCAAAGCATCGTGTGCCCATGTGGTTGAGTTGAGCAGCAGCCCATCTCCCAAGGCACTCATGTGCCATGGAAACAGCCGTGCAGCACCTCAGCAATCCATGGCATGCCATTCCACTCGCAGCACCATCCTGCTCCCATGGCACTCCCTAACACCGTGCGATCGCTGCCGTGCCAGCAGCCCAACAACCCCCTATCGCCACCACATGTCCATCCTCGCAGCACACATGTGCCCTCCCTGCCCAGGCCATTTTCCCAGGCCCACACATGCCCCAACAACCTTCCTGTTCTCGGGCCTAGTCCCTTCTCACGTCTACCATCTGCTCTTCGAGACCACCTCCCGGTGCAATGCCAGATTACATCATTGCGTTCATGCCACGGCGCACCGTGTGCAAAGCGGTGCAGCAGCCTACACAGTGATGTAGTGCGGTGCTTGTATGATGGAGTGCCGCCAGTTTTATTCTAGGATCTGCGTAGTGAGCAGGGTGCATCATGACAACACAGCCTACAGTGCCCATCGTTTGTTTCAAGAATGCATGCATGGGTTGGATGTGCTTGCGTTGTGGTAGATAAGAATTGCGTCTGCAGGATGTGCAGTGCTTCAGCACTAGGTTGCTAGTCATGTCTGTATGTACCGTATTAGACATGCTGTGCATGCAAACCTCGCAATGAGCATGCACCTTAGGTACCGTGGCACAATACTCTATGTTGGATAGGAAAATCCTTAGGGAGGATGAGAAACAGAATTACTGTGGTTCAGCTCGTTCTTGCTCATACCGTAATCACCCGGACATAACACCCGGGGGTATTATGATAACCACAGGGAAAAAAGGGGGGGGGGGTGCTCTCAACGGAAAATCCTATATAATACCCGGGTGGTTATATATGGCACTTTTTAGTGTAAGAAAAAAGTTGTATTAGACAATTTGGGTGTTTCAATGGTCGTTTTAACATCACAGGTTGAGGCGAGAATTCGCGTTTTGGCGAGAATGTGAGTTTCACCTCTCGGGCCACGTGCAGCGGAAGATTCGCCAGCGTGGCGACAGCGAGATTGTGGAAGGGAGGGAATCTCGGTAGATTCGAAGTGAAAGTGCACGCGAAATTTCATTCAGGAAGCGATTTTCGTCATATCCTCCCGTAAAAAATCTGACTCGATAACAGCTATAATAGGGTTTCGTAAGAAAAGGGGGGTGTTATAGAGAATCACCCCAAAAGGGGGGGTATAGTACAAACGAGGTCGGCTATAGCACCCCCCCCGCACAAGCTACCCGGGGGTGTACTATTACGGGGGGGTGTTTTGTCCGGGTGATTACGGTAGGTTGCGAGGCATAGCTGTTCATAACTGAAGGAACAGTATGTATCACCAATGATTGCACGTATTATATACATTACTGAAGAAGTGAACGACCACTTGAGCCCGCACAGAATAATGGAGTTCAGCAGCAGCAACCAACATTGCAAAGCATCAAAGCACAGCATCCAGCCACACCTCGCCCTGTATCCCTTAGAGACAGACATAACTCATGCCATGTGCTCCATTCATGCGCTTTCCGCCATCAACCCCCGGCGAGCTCCTCAGAAACTCCTCTTCAGCACCTCACCAACTCCACATCAGCCTCTCGCCAACCCCTTGCCAGCGCCTCAGTCATCTCGGCCACCATCCTCCCCAGCCTGCCCCCCCTGCCCTGCAGTTTGCGGCTTGGGGTGCACCACATCCCTCAACCGTGCAAAGTCCACCCCCTGAAAGCGAGGGCGCGACTCAATGTACCGTGCTCCGTACGCAAAGCCAAAGCCCCACCCCATGCCCAACCCCACGCCACAGCCACCTCCTGGCAAGGGTCAGGGAGGTTGAAGGGGTTGCTCAGGCAAACGGTACAGTTATACGCACGGAGAAAATACTGAGTGGCTGGGAGAGGTAGAAGGAAGCATGGGCAGGAAGCATTGCGAATAATCATGTGCATTAGCCTGCAAGTAGAAGTGACATCAAGTTTCTTCATGCGCAGCCAACAAACCATAAGAATGATAACAAGATAATGTAACCAGTTTACAGGGGATCTCCTAGAAAGGGCAGAGACAACATACCGATTCCCATGCCCAGCGAGTTTATTGGTGCTCCTGCAATGGCAGAAGAGGAAACAACATGGCAAAGGCCAGAGTGAGCTCGAAAGTAGAGACGCTATTTCACAAGCACATGCTGGAACGAGCCAATGGCTCACATCATTAGAAGCATGCACATCAATTGTCACATAGTGGAGCAAAAAGGACGTATGCAATCACATAGCAATGCGCATTCGAAGCGAGAGGACAATGCAGGGTACAGCTGGAAAATGGAAGGAACTAAGACTGGTGAAACCAGAAACATTGAGGAGCACACATGATACAGCATGAGAAGTCAGGGCTGGGACTGCTTACCTCCGAACCCCCAACCAACACCAAAGCCACATCCAGCACCAAATCCTGCCACACGCACGCACACACACAAAGGGGGGGGGGGAGGTGGGGGAGGGGGGGAAGGGGTTTGGGGGGGAGAGGAGGGAGAGAGCGAGAGAGAGGATAGATTGGTGGATGGAAATATATGAATGAATAAATACTAGATAGATGGAATGGTATATAGACAGATATGCAACAGAGGGGTAGAAGTATGGTGGGAGGGAGAGAGAGAGAGAGGGTGGGGCATAATGGTGCCACGAAGAAGGAGCGGGAGGCAGACAAGAGAGGACGAATCCAGGGAGCCAGGGGAAGGAGCCAGGGGCGTGGAAACGGCAAAAAGAACGCAGGTATGCTACAGACGCCATAAAAGTAAAGGATGGAGAGTTAGGACGAGACGGAGAAAGGTGCATATTGGCGGTGTTGGAGGGGAAGGGGCAGGCACGCACGCACGCAAGCAAATGGTTGAGCAGCAAGCGGGAAACAAGTGAAACTTGGAAAAGTGGGGTGACAAGCGGGAGAGTGGACAGATATACAGGAATAGAAGGTGACGTAGGCAGTGGAGTAACAAGTAGAACGAAAGTGAGAATCAGTCAGCATCTGGCGGCAAACGGGTAAACCAGCAGTAATTTACGTACCAAATCCCACTCCCCGACCTCCGAACACTCCCATCGTCATGCTGACGACAATGGCGAACAAATAGGGAGTCAAGTTGAAATATTTCTGGCGATGTCAAGTTGCGGCGGAGCGTTATGTGGATGTGTTCTACTCCCACTCAAAACCTTGAGCTGCTGCGCCTTTCTGAGGCTTAAATTTTCGCGGTTTCCGCGGACAGTCATATGCATGCGACGTTCGTACTACATGCAAGCGAATAATCTGACACTCAACCCGTTTTTGAAAAGAAAGTCTCTAGTTACGTCGAAAAAAGGAAACCTTGGAACCGCGCCTGTTGCTGCGCTGCTCAGCATCCGGAAGGTCCTGGTCTGTCGCGATTTGAATGATCTGGGTGACAATCATAGGCCAACATTCCGCGACACAGAGAACCGCGCAGCAGCATATACTGTACTGTACCGTATCACGTGGCAATAGCATTCCACGCCCCCGATAATGTAACCCAACCCAACATGGCCTACAAAAGACACGTGTGTATGTTCACATCTACTATAGCTATTGGGCTCAAATGTAGCGTCTTATATGGCCTCCCATATGCTAAAACTACTGAAGCAACAATCTCACTGATTACGTATTTTAGAAGAATATTTGTGACCTGGTTCTTTTCAAACTGTACAGAAATTTGCAATTTCCATTAGTTATAATACATATAGAAATAATAGAAAAAAATGTTACAAATTAACCAGAATCATACGAAATAAACCAGGAGAATCTAGAGACAAAAGGAGCCATGGCTCACAATTAAGAACAAATAAAATCTGCAGTTGTAGATATTATTTTCTGTTTAGCATGCCCATGTACAGTTTCTGATTAACACTATTGCAGCTATTGCTTCGCATTCAGTGGTTCATTGTCTTCTCGCTCCAGCATCAAGGCGAGTCGCTGGTGTTTCGTGGTCCAGGACAAATATATAGACATGGCGCATCAGCTTCAGAATCCGTCTGCTGGAGAATGTCGACTAGCCCTGCTAGTGATATTGCTAAAGCAGGAGCTACGGTTCAGGGCTGGATCTCTCGCCTGGTGAAGAAGCCAGACATTACTGCTTCACCAGGCGAAGATCAGGCCAGCAACGATCAGGTGGCAAAGTGAGTGCATCCATTTTGTCATCCATTCCCATTTTTCGTAGTAACTGGCCTGACCATGAGTGATTGGTCCGGCGCAGAACCATCAAGGACCTTCAGGCAGTCAGTATCACTCCTTCCGGAAAGGAAGAGTCGAGAATCAGGGAGCGTGTTCCTCGCAAGGCGAGTCATCAGTGTCGCTCTTTGAGAGCACATCATGACGACGTTAACCGGTTTTGAGAGTCCTAACTGGTTTTGAGATGACGTGCAGATCAATATTCTGGGAGATGCGTATTCAAGTGGACCCTGGAGAAGTCTCGACGATTTCATTCAGAGGAAGGAGGTCGCGAAAGGACGGTGCGTGCTCATTTTCTTTATTTTGAGTTTTTATTTTGCCGCCATCTGGTATAACCTTTGCTTACCTTTTGCATGTGCTGACCGTACAGAGGCTGCATAATAGTTTCTGCCATTGCTACCAACGTTTACCAACGAGTTGCTATTAAGGCTTACGAAAGAAGCCAGATCAACGAGGGTACCATTGTTCACATCCGAAGGGAGGCATCTCTTATTAAGGGATTGCGGTAAGTCTAGCAGGTCTAGTGAACGTCTGGTAAGTTGATTTTCATTGTTCAATAACATCATTGCGTTCAGGCATGAGGCGATCTGCCAGCTTTACGGGTCTTTTGAGGATACGAAGTATGTGTACATTGTGATGGAGCTGTGCTCTCAAGGGGATTTGATGGAGTTCTTAAATGGTCCCCGGGGAGTTCGTCGCTTGACTGAGGAGCGAGCTGTACAGACGGTAACCCGTTGACTATTTCAGTCATTGTTGAAGGGCTGTCCTTGACTGGAGAATTCTTGCAGGTTTTGCTCCCTCTGTTGCAAGCGCTTCAGCTTCTTCATGGAAAAGGAATCGTTCACCGAGACATAAAGCCAGAGAACCTTTTCATGTCCAAGGGTATTGCGAAGCTTGGGGACTTCGGGCTCGCCATCAACCAACGACTAGAGCCACCGATGTCGCAGCTAGGTACTCTGGATTATATGGCCCCAGAAGTCTTCAGAAGGCCGGGGGAAAATAGTGGAAGGAGGCAAGCACTTTACGACGAGAAGGTTGACATATGGTAAGGTGCATGGTTTTTTATTAACCAGAAAAAAAGGATGTGTCATTTACACTTCCTTGTTTCCCGTAGGGCATGTGGCGTGCTGGCGTACGAAGTCGTAACTGGAGAGCCACCCTTCAATGCTGGAAAGAATGGAAGCCTTACCAAGGATTTGATTCAGAGAGCTGCTGTTCCAATTGCTGGAGTCTGGCCTCATCGTGTTTCACCAGAGCTTGCGGATTTCATCAAGCAGGTACGAAAGGAATGCAGTTTTCCTGTTTTATGCTGCACTCAACCCATGTTCTCTCCATGAGCAGACTCTTCAGAAGGACCCCCGTCATCGACCATCAGCTGAGGATCTTTTGTCTCACCCTTGGATCTTGAGCCACCTTCCCACGTCCACTGAGGCTGTTAGTCCTCCTATATCGATCTCCGCTAACACGTCAACAAAACATCCAGTTTACCATCCATCGCATGTGCCAGCAATACCAGAAAATTCCATGCTTGCGAAGAGCTGCCCAGATTCTGTCTACTACAGTAAGGCGCCTCAAAAGCAAGCTCCCGCAGTTGGGATCGCCACCGGTGTGCAAGCAGGTTGTGTTGCTGGCTCTGTCAGCAATAAGTCCAAGGCACTTCCGAGCGTGGTTGAAGAAGGTGATGGGTGCCAAGAGTGTGACGACTCCACGATACGTGATGGCCTGACTGCCGTTCCAGAACATCAGCCTCTGCACTCCCTGCCAAAGCTGGAGAAGGATGGGTCGTTCGAGAGGATGCTTCATGCCAGTGGTATCAAGGCCAAGACGGGACATGGCACTATGAAAGTTACAGCTGACACAACGACCCCATCATCTCCACAGTCTCCTAGCACCCCAAGCCCTACATACACGCCGAAGGGAGTGACTGATAAATGGCAAAGCCTGGAACATGGCAGTATCAAAAAGTGAGTTTCTCTACGCCTGTCAGCATGTCATCTTTGGTCTGTCTGATTGCACTCTTAACGTTGTTTGTCATTCCAGGTCTCTGTTCTCAAGTGAGATGATGGAACATGCCAAGCCATACCAGGTGGGAACAGGCCCACTCAGCGGTGGTGATATGAAAGCTGAATGGTGCTCCCCCTTGCCACCTTCACTGCGCTGAACAGAATTCACCAGTTGGCACAGAGCAGTCGCCATTCGCCATCCCCACATCTCTAATAAGACCACTCACCTAGACTGGTTGAATGGTTGCTTGCCACCATGTCTTACTCAACAATGTGAATAAGGTTAAGCAGCCACTCATTGTCGAAGATTTTATATTCCATACAAATAGTTGCAATTTCACTGCCAGTATGGTCTACTCTGTCCTAAGAACATAACGCAATCTCTTTCCACCCGTACGGTAGGTGTTGCGGGTGGGCAACATGGACACTTCATATCGTAACATATTGCACATATTTTAGGCGAGGCTACAATGAGGTAGGTTATAGAGGGTGCAACCCATTTATGGATTCCCATATACCGTATATCATCCATCCTCGTAGTGGTTATCATTCCGTTATTCGTACTAACATTGTACCATGTACTGTAGGTTCCCTCCAAGCACACGTCTCAGCCTAGCACACGTCTTTTATTGCCCATATCGTTTCCTACAATATATTGTACATTTGCCTACGTACAAGCCAAACTATACCTACACATATATAAACTCTATGCTAATGCTACCGTAAGTGGCTAGCTCTAGGTGACTTAAGGCATCAATAACCTGTGCCAATGACAAAGCACAAGAAATACAAACTATAGACATTGTGGTGGGAGCACAATACAAGTGATGGTGAGGGGTGAGGGATGTTAAAGCACATGTTGCTTCCACAACGCTTCTTGACCACCAGAACTGCTGTACCGCTGTCATCGCTACAGTAGTTACTGCGGCTGCGTCTCATCTGCTGCAGATGCCATCCACGGATGAGCTGCGCAAAAAAGAATGACATGGCCCATTCCTCAGAACAGGTAAACACCATTACAAGAACACTGGAAATTACAGAAATAGGAGCACAGCTTGCAGGACAGGGTGTGGGAAAAGGGACAGGGGGGGTACCGAGAACGCCAGCCGGTGTGATGCGGAGGTCGGGATCCCGTGTGAGCATGCGGCGGATGAGGTCCTGCACGAGCTGGGAGCGCTTGCCCCACACCTCGGGCTTGAAGCGCAGGCGGCAGTCGAGGATGGCCTGCATGATGCCGTCCTCTGAGCGCGCCCAGAAGGGCGGCACCCCTGACAGCAGCACGTACAGCACCACCCCTGCGCTCCACACGTCGGCTGGGGGCCCGTAGCTGCCCTCGATGACCTCTGGCGCCATGTAGTAGTGCGACCCCACAAACTCCGTCAGCGGCCGCGCTGGAGGGTGGGGGGCGGGGGGCACACCGTGCATGGGTGGGGGAAGGGTTATTGAGGCGCCTCAAACATCATCTCCCGATGACCTCCGGTGCCATGTAGTAGTGCGCCTTCACAAACTCCGTCAGTGGGCGCGCTGCCAGAGGTGGGGGGGAGGGAACCATGCACGGGTGGGGACAGGGGGGTGATGTGAGGTGCGAGACAGAGAAGCAGATCTGAAAGCGGATTATTGCTGTGAGAATGGTTGGAGCAGGGTGAGGGGTTCAGGAAGAGGGGGAGAACAAGAGGTATGACAGGAACTCGGGAGAGGAGAAGGGCAGCAGTGTAAGAGAGAGAAGAGCAAGCACGTAGACCGTGGTCACTGTGATTGGACCCATGGCTCACAAGGCTTGTAGAAGGCAGCGATGCCAAAGTCAATGACTTTAACGTCAGTGTCGCTGTGTTCGGACACGAGAAGGATGTTCTCGGGCTTGACATCGCGGTGCACCACCCCCATGGCGTGGCAGTGCCTCAACACGTCCACCAGCGTGCGCAGCACCGCTGCCGCCTCGCCCTCCTCATACACTCGCTTCGCCTTGAGGCGGTCGAACAGCTCCCCACCCTCACACAGCTCCATCACCAGATGCACCTCCTGGCAGAGGGGGAAGGGAGATGGGGGAGACAGGGAAAGAAGGGGGGACGGGGTTAGAGGGGCAACGATGCTCAAGGGGCTGGCAAGGGCCCGCGTGCCAACCAGTCGAAGAGTGCCTCAGCACATCCACCAGCGTGCGCAGCACCGCTGCCGCCTCGCCCTCCTCGTATACTCGCTTCGTCTTGAGGCGGTCGAAGAGCTCCCCACCCTCACACAGCTCCATCACCACATGCACCTCCTGGTGGGGGGGGGGGGGGGGGGGGGGGGGGGGGGGGGGGAGGGAGGAGGATGATGGGGGGGAGGGAGATGATGGGGAAGAGGGTGGCAGGGCGTGGGATGGAAGCTGACCCCTTGGTTGGGCTTGAGGCGGTCGAAGAGCTCCCCGCCCTCACACAGCTCCATCACCACATGCACCTCCTGGTAAAAAACGAGAGAGAGGGGGGAAGGAGAGATGGGGGGGAGGGAAATGGGGGGGAGGAGAGATGGAGGGGGAGGAGGGGGGGGAGGGAGATGGAGGGAGAGGAGATGGGGGGGGAGGGAGATGAGAGGGGAGGAGAGATGGGGGGAGGAGAGATGGAGGGGAGGAGAGATGGAGGGAAGGGGAGGGGAGAGAGATGGAGGGGAGAGATGGGGGGGGAGGAGAGATTGGGGGGACGGGGAAAGACAGGCAGGGACGGGGTGACATGGGGGTTGGTGATGTTAGAGGAGGGGGAGAGGGGAAACGGAGGGAGACGAGAGAGATGTGGGGAGACGGGGGAAAACGGGGAACCAGAAGGAAGGGTGCAGGGGAGCAGCTCCCCGCCCCCACAGAGCTCCATCACCAGATGCACCTACTGCCCCACGCGCACCCGTGCCACAGAACCACGCGGGAATGGGAGGAGGTGGTTGAAGACAGGGAGACGGGAAGAGACAGGAAACAAGGCTCAAGAGCTATTGAGACGCAAGGGCGGGTTGCAGGCGCAGAGAGTAAGGGAGTGGCACGAGGATCGAGGGGCAGACGGTTAGTCGCAATGCATAGTTCCCTCAGGGTGCATAACCACGAGAGCATGGGGTAGCATATGAGCATGGGAGCCCATGGGCACGTGGACGAGCAGGAGCATGCGCGAGCAGGGCGAGAGAGAGGGATACCTTGGGGTCTTCAAAGGCAGCAGCGAGGCGGGCAACGCTGGGGTGGTCCTTGAGCTGCTCCAATATGGCCACCTCCCTCCTTATGTCCGCCGCATCCGCCTTCGACTGCCGTATGGGCAGAGCAGCACACAGAGCAGCACACAGAGCAGCACTCGGAGGAGCATGGTGAGGTGAGCCGTGGGACAACAAGAGAGGCACATCGTGGGCTAGGTCACAGGGCAGGTTGCTGAGAGTCACGGACATGCGGCAGCACTGGCAACAAACGAGGCAATGGCGCAGTGAGAGGAAGAGAGAAGCGGGAAGAGAAAGAGAGGATATGAGCGCAGGGGCGGCATGAAGAGCACTCACCTTGACGCACGTCTTGCTGATGGACTTGCACGCCAGCCGCTCCCCACTCACCCGGTTCTTCACCACGCGGATCACCCCGAACTGCCCGCTGCCCACCTGCTCGCCCCCGTCTACATCATACTCCACACGCACGTCTGAGAACCCCCTCCCCAGCACGTCCGCCTGCCCGCCCTGCAGCAGCCTCAGCCGCGCCCGTGTGATGCGGTCCCCCAGCCCACGCATGCCCTTCGCTGCCTTGCTCAGAAGCCCCGCCTTCCCCTTGCCCCCTGCCGCTGCTGCTGCTCCCCCCTGCTCTGCTCCTGCCTGGTCTGTGTTGCCATGATGTGTACTCACTGCCTGGGCCGCCACAGGAATGCTCGAATCCTCCTCGCTCTCAGCATCTGTCACTCCCTCCTCCCCTCCCCCCACATCCCCTTCCTCTTCCTCCTCCTCTCCCTCCTCGTCCTCCTCTTCTTCCTCCTCGTCCTCCTCCTCCTCCTCCCCTTCCTCTTCTTCCCCACCGCTCTTCCCAGCAGCGCGGAGGCGCTCCTTACCAGCGGCACTGAGAACAGCCCTGCGAGCACGACACAGCCGGCTGGGCGTCACACTGTCCTCTCTGCTCGCCTTCGACGGCGTCACCACCTCCTCCTTCCCCGCCTTCCCCTCCTCCTCCCGCCGCTCCTCCCGCCTCCACCCAGCTGTGCCCATGCCAGCAGTACCGGCGGGGCGTGCACCGGAGGCAGCACGAGCAGCAGCAGAGGGCACGGCGAGGTCCAGAGAGCTGGCAGTGGAGGAGAGCCGCACTGCTCTGTTGCCCCCTGCGCTCACCCCATCCATGCCCATGCCCATGCCCATTCCCATGGCCAACCCCATGCCCCCCTGGGTGCCCTCGCCCACGGGCTTGCCCATGGGGCGACCGGAGGAGCGGAAGTTGTCACTCGCCATTTTGCGCAGTGTCCTCCCTGCCACCCTGCCGCCTCCCCTGCTGCTGCTGCTGCCCCTGCTGCTGCTGCCCCTGCTGCTGCTGCTGTTTCCCCTGCTGCCCCTGTTGCTGCTGCTGCTGCTGCTGCTCCCACTACCCTCGCTGCTGCTTCCCATCCTCCTGCTGCCCCTGCTTCCACCCCCTTTTCCGTCGATTCCCCTGTTACTGTTCTCCTCATCGCTCTCGCCCTCGCCGCTGACCTCCCTGCCCCAGGTGTTGCTGCAGCGCTTGCTGCTGCCCCAAATGCCACTGCTGCTGCTGCTGCTGCTGCTGCTTCTGCCCACCCTACGTCTCCTCCAACCCCCTCTCTTCCTCCTCCACTGCCCTCTCTTCCTCCTCCACTGCCCTCTCTTCCTCCTCCACTGCCCTCTCTTCCTCCTCCACAGCCCTCTCTTCCTCCTCCACTCTCCTCCCTTCCTCCTCCACTCCCCTCTCTTCCTCCTCCACTCCCCTCTCTTCCTCCACTCCCCTCTCTTCCTCCTCCACTGGCCTCTCTTCTTCCTCTGCTACCCTCTCTCCTTCCTCCACTCCCCTCTCTTGCTCTTCCACTTCCCTCTCTCCCTCCTCCTCCTCCACTCTCCTCCTTCCCTCTTCCACTTCCCTCTCTTGCTCCTCCACTCCCCTCTCTCCCTCCTCCGCCCTGTTCCCGCCCACCATCACTCCTCAACGCTCTTTCCCCACCGCCTCTCACCCCGGCCCCCACCACCGCACCTCTCAGTCTAGCAGCGCTGCTGCTGGCACTGCGGGCAAGCTCATGCCGAGTACTGCCAGTGCCCGGCACAGCAGCAGCTGCGGCAGGGAGGGTGGGCACCGCAGACATGTGAGGTGCAGGCACGGTAGAGAGGGCAGGCATGGCAGGTGCGTTGAGGGAGAGGCCAAGGGAGCGCGCGTTGAGAGTGGCGGCTCGATGGAATCCCCTGCTGCTGCTGCTGCTGCTGCTGCTGCTGCTGCTGCTGCTGCTGCTGCTGCTGCTGCTGCTGCTGCTGCTGCTGCTGCTGCTGCTGCTGCTGCTGCTGCTGCTGCTGCTGCTGCTGCTGCTGCTGCTGCTGCTGCCGCTGCTCGCACTGCCACCACCAGTGGTGCTGGTGGAAAAGGTGCCGGTGGTGGAAAGGGTGCTAGTGGTGGTGAGGGTGGTGGATGTGGAGGTGAAGGAGCTGCTGGTGAGTGTGGCACTGCGGCCAGTGCTGATGGCACTGGACGAGCTGCTCACGCTTAGCCTCCTGCTGCTGCTCGCCCCGCCGCTGCTGCTCGCTGTGCTGCCACTCACTGTGACACTGCTGCTCACTGTGCTGCTGCTGCCACCGCCTGTGGTGGTGGCACCGCCTGCAGTGGTGGCACCACCAGTGGTGGTGGCAGTGGGAGCGGCGCGGCTGCTGAAGCTGCGAGAGTCAAAGAGAGCAGCAGAGGGAGGGGTACGAAGCGTGCTGCGAGCAGCTGTCGTGTGCGCCCTCGCCAACGGATACGCTCTTACCCCCTTCTCCTGCAACAATCCCCCACTCGCTGCTGCCACTGCAGACGCAGAACTGCCAGTGCTGGCAGCAGTGGCAAGAACTGGCTCAGCAGTGGTAGTGGCGGTGGCGGCAGTGGCAGTAGCAGCGGCGGCGGCAGTGGCAGTGGCAGCAGCAGTGGCACTTTTCATCTTGAGCTGCTTGCCTTGCACGGCCTGCTCCTGCCACGTGCCCACAGGCGGAGCCACGAGCTGCTGGTGCAGAGACATGCTGCCATGGCGCCGCAGTGCAGCAGCAGCAGCAGGAGCAGCAGCAGGAGCAGCAAATGTGCCTGCTCTCATCACACCACTCACACCCGAACCACCACGGGTGAGACCCACGCCCACTTCGCCACCCAGCCCAGACCGGCTGCTTGCACTGCCTCCTGCCCGCCTGCCCGCCCCGCCGCCTCTTGCACCCGCACTGCCACTCGCCCCACCTGCTGCTGCCAACCCCCCTGCCACTGCACTCCCAGTGTCGCCCTGGGGAGCCGTCCATGCGGGTACATCCGCTTCCGCACTCGAACACGCCGGGATGGCCCCTCCCACCCTCCCTCCTCCCCCACCCATGCCTGCGCCCATGCCCATGCCTGCGGTCATGCTCGCACTGAAGGCTGCTCGTCGCAGGTCCATGGACCCCCCCACGCCGCTGCCCAGCCTTGGCGTGTCCGTGTGCACCCCTGCGCCCGTCCGCCCCGCACCACCACCGTTTTGCACCTCGCTCCACCGCGCTGTGAGGCGCAAGAGGCGCTCGGAGGTATCAGCGCCGCCCGCAGCCGGGAGGCCCATGCCCAGGAACATGGCGGCTGATGCTGGGTCGCTGGCAGAGCCAGGATGCCTGGGATGCGCGGGGTGCATGCCTGCTGGGTGGGCGGCCACACTTTCTGCTGAAACACCACCAGCGGCAGCAGCGGCAGCAGCGGCAGCAGCGGCAGCAGCGGCAGCAGCGGTAGAAGCAGCGTGTGGGAAGGCGGGGCGGCCGGAGGAGGATGTGCGAGAAATGCCCATGGACCGAGAGCCTGCACCTGCCCCCATGCCCATGCCCGTGCCAAACCTGCCGGCAGGCGCATCAGCAGCAGCAGGAGCAGGAGCATGGGGCGGAGTGGCATGGGGCGCAGGCACGTGGTGCAGGTCAGCAGCAGACATGGACATGCTCTTCACCATCGCACGCGCGCCCCTCCTGCCACCCCCCACTGCTGCTGCCCCCGCCACAACCCCCCCTGCGGTAACCCCTGCTACTCCGCCCCCTGCACTCCCTGCTGCTCCCAATGCTGCACTGGCTGCTGCACCGTGCCGGGCTGCCAGCAGGCGCAGCTCTGTGAGGGAGAGCACAGGGGGTGTCAGCGGCATGGGCTCACATGAAACCCCAGCAGCAGCAATCCCAGCAGCAACCCCAGTGAATGGCATGGGCCGTGCTGTCAGTTCCGCTGCACTATTGTTCCCCAGGGCAGGGAGCAGCGTGACAGGCGCGCCGATGGCTGCTGTCTCGTCCCATGCACGCCCAGCCCTGCCCTCCCCCACTCGCGCGTGCCACGGCCGGCTTGCCACCACCTCCCCTCGCCGCCCCCTCACCCCGCCTGCACCACTCATCCCCCCTACCCCACCCACCCCGCCTGCCCCACCCACCCCGCCCCCACCACCCACTGCACCCGCCTCCACCTCACCCACCTGTGCGCTGCCCCCTCTGCTACCGCCCCCATTCTCCGCCTCCCCCTGCACTGCCTGACCATGCTGCCACTCCTGCCCCTCCCTCTCCCTCTGCTGCTGCTGCTGCTGCTGCTGCTGCTGCGGCGGCGGCTGCTGTGGCAGTTGCTCAGTCTGCTGCTGCACACGTCGTTGTGTTGGCCCCTTGAAACCAGATGAACCCAATCCCGCCATGCCCCCTGACCCTTCTCCTCCTAGCCCCTCCACTCCGACTTCTGCCACTTCACGCCCCTCCCTCTCCCTCCCAACCACACCTCCCTCACTGTCCGCCCCGCCCCGCTTATCTCCCACTCTCCCTTTCCGCCCGTCCTCTAAGCCCCTCTGCTGCCGCACACCTTCCCCCTCCACCACCCCATCACTCGCCCCGCCACTCCTCTCACCCTCTTCACCTGCTTCCACTCCCCACGCCCCCGCCTCACCTGCACCCTTCTTACCCCGCCTTGTCCGTCCACGCCCCTGCCTCTCTTCCCCTGGCGCACCCGCTCCCTCCACCGCACCCCTCGGCGTTTCCCCACCTTCCACCATCCCTCGTGGTGTGCGCCCCCCGCCTGTGGGAGTGGCTGGGTTCGACCGAACCCTCTCTCTCCCGCGCGCCGCTCTGCCTCTCCCGCTCTCCCTCTCCCTCTCCCGTTCCCACTGCATGTCCCGTGCTGCTGCCCGCTGTGCGGCTGTCCACTTCTCACCCCCTCTCTGCATGCTCCTGCCCCTCCCACTCTCACTGCCAGGCGAAGGGGCAGAGGCGAGAGCCACAGATGCACCTGCTTGTGTTTCACCTCTCACCACCCCTGCTGCTGCTCCCTCTTCCCCACCTGGGGCCGCCACTGTTCCTTCTCGCCCCTGCCTTCCCCTGCCATCAACCCTGCTCATGTCGCCTGCACCCACCCCTCCCTGCCCCTCCACTTCCGTGCCCTCCTTAATCCCTACCTGCTGTGCAAGCCCTCTCTCCCCCGCACGCCTCCCCACCCCACCACTTGCGTTCTCCCCTTCACTCAGTCCCTTGGAGCCCTCTTCCGCACCACCACCACTCCCCCCACCACCCTCCCCCGACCCTGCCCCGCGCCCCCAAGGCGCATGGCCGCGCCCCTCCATGGCGCTCAGAGCGCGATTCAGCCTCCGCCCTGCCCCTCCCCTTGCATGACCCTCCGCCCCGCTCGCCCTGCTACCCCCCCCCGTGTCCGCCCTGCGCCCGGCACCGTCCGCCCCCTCCCCTTCCCCGCCTCGCCCTCCGCTGCCCTCCGTGCTGCCGGTGCTAGTGCCGGTGCCACTGGCAGCGGTGGTGGCAGCAGCGGCGGAGCGCAGATCGCACGCACTGGCCTGCCCAACGCTCACACTCGATCGCAGCCGTCCGTTGCCGCCTGCTCGAGCCACGAGATCGCTGCTGCTGCTGCTGCTGGTGCTGCTGCTCTGCCCGCGTGCACGGACTCTCCTGCGCTCTGCAATAACTCCGCCCTCGCCATTCCCTGTACCCCCACTCTCACTCTCACCTCCATTTTCCCACTCCCAAGGACAGCCCGCAGCTGCTGGTCCTGCTGGTGCCACGTCAGCACTGACTGGACCATGCAGCGGCTGCTGGCGCAGGGAACTGTGCGCCACGTCAGGCATGCCTCGTTGACCAGCCGCCCCTCCATCTGCTCCCTCCGTCAACCCCCCGGCCTCTGCGCGCATCACACCTCTTTCCACTCCCAATTGCCCTCGCTCCACACCTATCACACCTTTTGCTCGCCCCATCCCACTCTGTTTGCTCCGCCCCATCGTCCGCACCCCACCCCGCCCCACTTCCCCTCTCGCCCCCGCCCTGGCGGACCCCCCAGTCTCGCCCTCGCTCCCCCCCCCTGCCTCTGCACTTGCTGCCGCTTGCATGCGAGCAGGGGGACCCGCGCGAGGGGGGGACTGCGAGAGGCCGGGAGGGGGGCGGTCCTCCTGGGGCGACGGGGGATGGGGGCGGGTGGGGGGCGAGGGGGAGGTGGCGGAGCGGGACGAGGAGGAACGCGCATCAGGCGGCACAGCAGAGGAGGGCGGAGGAAAGGGGGAGGGCGAGGGGGAGCGGGCGAGAGCGGTGTGGGGGCGGCGGGGGAGGGGCATGGCGGAAGCATGGGGGGGAGAGGCGGAGCCTTTGCTGCTGTGCAACCGCTGCACTGCGTCCACTTGCAGACTCGCCTGCCGCACATGCCGCCCCTCCCCCCTCTGCCGCTCTTGCCTCGCCACTCTCTGCCCTACTGCACTGCTCTGCTGCTGCCCCACCCCTTGCTGCCACGCCCCCTGCTGCCCCACCCCCTGCTGCCCCCCCCCCTGCTGCCCCACCCCCTGGAGCGGGTGTGTCTGGCGGGCCTTCCAGCTTCCCCCATCGCCCAGCCCCGCCCCGCCGCCCGCTGCCTCACTGCCCTCGCCGCCTCCGCTGCTCGCGCCCGCCACTGCCAGCCTGCCCCCGGCAGTCACAGGCCTCTGCGCTCCCCTTCCCCCTCCCATCCCCGCGCCCATGTGCGCGCCCGCCTGCCCCACCCCCGGCCCTCGCCTCATCCCCGCCCTGCCACTGCCCGGCCTCGCCCCTACCCGCATCTGCTCCCCCGCTTCCCCCCGCCTTCCCCCATCCCCCACCATTTCGCCCGGCCACGTCCCTCCAGGCGCAGGCGCACTCGCGCCCCCCTCACCGCCGCTGCTCACTGGCGCACCAGGCTTGGCGGAACCGACTGTGGGCGGGGCCGTGGGGAATCTCCGCGGCAGCGCGGCTGCTGTTTGCGCGTCGGCTGCGTGTGTCGCGTCTGCTGTTGCTGTGTTTGGTTCCGACACCGCGCCCGCACTGGCGGCGCCCGCGTTGACGGCGTCGCCACTGCTGACCGCTCTCACGCGCCGGGGCCTGCTGCTGCCGCGCGCCATGCCCCCCTCCCTCGCGCCCTCTCCCCCTGCCCTCACCCTCTCCGCCCCCTCCTTCTCCCCGCCTCCGCCGGCTCCATCGCGCACGACAGGCCCGCGGGCGCCCATCAGCGCGCCATCCCGCCCCGGACTGCCCTCCCGCAGCTCCGCCCCTACCCCCGCGCGCCCATCCGCGCGCCCTTCCGCGCCGGGTCTGCGCCGCACAGCATGCGGGGGCAGAGGCGAGATGGGCCGCGGCGGGGCAGCCGTCGCGCTCCTGTGGGCGGACGGCGGCCGCGCGGGGGCGGGCGAGGCATGCGCGGAGGAGGGTTCGGAGTGCGAGGGGGAGGGGGAGCTGGAGCGACTGCGAGAGAAGGCGGCGCTAACGCTTTGGCCGATACGAGAGTCGCCGTTAGGGATGCGAGAGGGGCGAGTTCCGGGAGGAGGGTAATACGGCTTTAAAAAACTATCATCCCCCATCGCCATCGCGCTATCGTCGCCGCGCGCCCCTCCCGGCTCCGCTTCCCCGCGCCCTGCTATCACGAGTTTACGCCCCGGCGATACAGCTTTGCGGCCTGACGTCATCGAGTTGCGGTGTGACGTCATGGCGTCTGACGTCATCATGGCGCGATTGCGGTCGAAATGGGAGGAAGGAGCGGCGAAGTGCGGCGGGGAAGGGACGGCGTTGACTCGCGCATCCAACATCCCGCTGCCGCCGCTGCTGCTCATCCTATCGCGCCCTCCTTCCCCCACCCCTTCTTGCCCAGGCATGCGCCCCTCCGTGCCCTAACGAGCATCGCTTGCCCTTCCGCGCCCCTAACGCCGTGCATGCTAGAAATCGTTATAATTTAAATATTTTTGGTGAGAACTATTAATCTTCTATGTTACTGTATCCTCGGCGCTGCTTCATGCCTGGATGTGACTGCGCCCGTGCTGTGTGGCTAGCTGGCCGCCATGTGGAGGAGTTGGTGGTGGGCAGGGGAGAGTGTACATGTACAGGCAAGCAGCGCGAGCGACGGTGCAGGAGGTGTATCTAAGTGCTACTGTACAGCGCAGCACTGCACAACTGCCTGTCGTCTCGTCGCCTTGCCCCGCTTGCTTTCCCTGCTCAGCCTTCCGTACAAGCACTATTGTCCCTCCAACTCGTAACAATACACTTCGATAAGGACGGAGATTCTGAGCAGTCTCAACTCCAAAAAGCGTTAAAAAACAAGCGATTTTTCTTTTTGAGAATGCTGATACAAAATTTTGATAAATAATGCATAGGACTATTACAGCAACAGATATACAATGACTGATGTGCTTGTTGGAAACAATAAATTGTAAACGCCTCTGTCGTGTCGAAACACCACACCAGAAGCGAAGCACGCCATGTCGAAGCACCCGCGAGTCAACCCTCGGAGGTTAAAAGAGGTTGCTGGAGGTTACGCGAAAGTCAAAGGTCAAGCGACCTTTGACCTGACAAATACAGCGCGACAGTTAAGGACACACAGCTGACTCGTTACAGAGCAGTTGCCCGAGTCGTACTGTATCGAACCGCAACAGCAACAGTAAAGTAGTTACAAACTGCATCCTTTCATATTCCTTGTATTATTATATAATCTTGTACTTCCTTGCTATAATCAATCTACTTTGCCCTCACATACCAGCGCAAGGTGGTTCACAAACTTTTGTTAAACGCTTCCGCTATTACAACACTATCCATCCAGAGTTCTCCCTTGAAAGATCCTAAGGGGCTATCTCAGCCCAACATGGTATGAGAGCAAACAGGGGAAACTCTACTACCTTCAAATCATTACAAGACATGGCAACAAGCAAGGAAAGGAGCTCCTCTAACGGCTCCCCAGGCACTACTCCTACTCCACCTCCTGCCTCTGGCCTGCAGACAGAGGAAGGCACGGCAACAAGACCAAGAGTAACATCTACTGAAACTCCCGCAAATCACCCCGCGAACTTCGACCCGAGTATAATGGAGAAGTTCTTCTCCTTCATGTCCTTCTACGAGCAGCACCAGCAGTCGGGACCTGCACAATCACACAACAGCAACAACAACGGAGCAACACCCATGAGCCTTGACGGGTCGTCATATGCGCGCGGAAACCAACAGCAGCAACCTACCTTCGCCCCGTACGAGCGCGGGTCGATCAGCTTCATGCCGCAGCCTTCACCTGGACAAGATAAACCACTGGACGCGTTACAAGTGCAATCGCAGTTCGCGCACGTTCTGAAGCTGCAGACATCAAGGCCCTTCGACGGAAAGGACTTCTTCACCTGGTCATTCGAGTTTGAGTTAATGATGGAAGGCGCGCAGATACTCGGCTTCTTCGACGGGTCCCTGCAATATCCAGCAAACGGCACACAGTATGAGAAGCAGCAGTATACGTATCAATCGATGATGGCGTATACGATTCTACTGAGGAACGTCACACCAACTCAGCAGCAGAACATACGCTCTTACCGGGGTTACGGCAACTCCGCTGAGCTCGCGTACAGCCACCTGAAGAGCCTGTATCAAGCAACAGACAGCGTAAACCAAAGCAGGTTAATGGCGCAGTTGACAACAGTTGAAATGAAACCGGGAGAAAAGGGGATGGCGTATATCAGCCGATGTCGCGAACTGCGCGACAAGCTTCTTCGATGCGGAGGGTCAATCTCTGAAGACGCCTTCGTGACAGTCATCATTGGTGGTCTCGGTCCCCAATGGCGCGCCACCAAAGCTATCCTCCGAGCCCACGGCAGAATCTCTGAAGCAGCACTCTGCGCCGAAATCCACGCTGAGCAGCAGGACATGGACCTGCAAGAAGAACGACACAGAAAGAAGACGACAACATCAGAGTTCGCGTTTCACACTCAACGACGTCACAACAATTACAACAATCGACAACAACAACCGAAGCCAGTACCTCCTTTCTGCCACATCTGCAAGACTTCAGGACACCCGCGCACACACTGCCCGAATCGACAACCGTCAACGACTCCGCAGCGACAGCTACGACCTTCAAGCAATCAAGTCGCATCAACACAGCCGAATCCAACGACCCAGCTCCAATCTTCAACAACTCCAACGGGACAACCTGCGCAAGGAGCAAGAAACATCGTTAGCTGCATGGCAAGACTGAACGATTCTTGCATCACAGAATCGCCACCGTACTACTCACCAGAAGAGCAATTCGACGAAACGACACCACGCCGCGAGTCACTTCAGCCGAACCCGACATACGCTGCCATAGCCCAAAACGAGCCATCCGGGAAGGACACGTGGTTCTTGGACAGTTGCTGCGGACAACACATGTGCTCCTCAGGACGCTTCGTACAACGAGAATACCAGCTTCAACGAGAGGTGGTCATCACCGTCGCCAACAATCAGAACCTGCGCACACGACGACAAGGAGTTGTTCAACTTCAGTCACGAGAAACGAACGTCATTCTACAGATGTCCAAGGTTTTAATTGCAGAAGGCCTCGGCTACAACTTACTCAGCGTCAGTCAACTGATGGCGAAAGGCATTCACCTTGAAGCAGACAGCACAACCCAGGAATTCAAGCTGTACCACGGGAGAGGAGGTCTCTACATCGGCAAGGCGGTTCTCAAGAACAACGTCTTCGTTCTTGACTTCGTCCCCGATCTCGGAACGGCCGACAGCGACGCCATCGTCAACTTCACTGACTGGACACATCCTCCAGATCTTGATCCAGACTTCAGCCCGAGCGGCTTCTGGTACTCACACACCATCCCTGAAACAGAAAGAACAAGGGCGCTGGCGACAATTCAGCAGTCGGCAGCAGCAGAGACAACATCGGCAGCAGCAGAGACAACATCGGCAACAGCAGAGACAACATCGGCAACAGCAGAGACAACATCGGCAGCAGTAGAGACAACATTGGCAGCAGCAGAAACAACATCGACAGCAGCACAGACAACAGCAGCAGCAGCAGAAACTGTCAGAATGAACGGACAGGAATGATTGAACTAACAGTGAAATCAGTACAAGTACCTAACCCTAGAATTGTGTACCCCCTATAGGCTAACCCACTGTAGCCTAAACAAACACAACATATATATAATGTTTGACACACCCCCATAGGCAAAGTGGGGGAGAGCAAGGGGTCACAAGACCAGTCAAAGCAAAGCAAAACAAGCTCAGGGTGGATCTCAAGGATACCACACAAATTCCGAGCACAAGCAAGTGGTCACAAGACCAGTTCACATGCAGGATGATAATATAACAAGAGATACAGTGATCACAACCTAGCAAGTGTAAACATGCAGGCATATATATAAAGATCACAGTACAAGCAGAGTCAAGAAGTAAGTAAGTGAGGTCCAGCAGGCACAAGGCCTAGAAGAGTACAGAAACGCTGATGATCACAAGGCTGAAGTGCCTTGGTGAACACATCAGCAAGGTTGGCCTCAGTGGCCACGTAACGCAGACGAAGCTGACCACGCTGCTGCAGCTCTCGAGCAAGGAAGTACCGCAGGGCGATGTGCTTCGTTCTGTGCTCCAGTCTGTGCTCCTCACACAAGGCAATGGCAGCCTGGTTGTCGACGTACAGCACTGGAGGAGAACGAGGCCGCTCTCCCAAGTCGGTCAGCAGGTAGGTCAGCCAGCGTAGCTCCTGGGCAGCCATGGCTGTGGCGTAGATCTCAGCCTCACAACTGGAGCTGAGAACAGAAGAAGAGCGTGTAGAACGCCAAGAAACTGAGCCGGAGCCAAGGCTGAAGGTGTAACCCTGAGACGACCGCTGAGTAGCCTGGTCGTCTGCCCAAGAAGCGTCTGAGTGTCCAGTAAGTACAACTCGGTCTCGCCCTCCAAGCACTAGCCCCATGCCCGACGTACTGCACAAGTAGCGCAACACCCTCTTAGCGGCATCCATGTGCTCCTTCCTGTGACGGCCAGGAGCGACATAGCGCGCAAGGATGCTAAGAGGGTATGCAAGGTCAGGTCGAGTGCAGGTCATCAGGTACATGAGGCAGCCCACAAGCTCTGGATACGGGCCACTCGGCTCTACGGACTCATCCGAAGGCAGAGCTAAGAGCGAGTGACCGGTAGGCAGAGGAGTGGACTGAGGCGAGGAGTACGTGAAGCGGAAGCGCTGAAGGATCTGCTGCACCATGTGTGACTGAGTTAAGGTGATGGTGCGCCGTGCTCTGTCCCGGGTGATCCGCAAGCCAAGATAGCTTGTCAGTTCACCCAGGTCTGTGCACGTGTGTCTCCTCTGCAGCTCCGACTTCACGTGGGCGAGTGCCGCGGTGTCAGCAGTGGCAAAGACCAAGTCGTCGACGTACACGAGGATGTAGAACGGCGGCAGTGAGGTGTCTGTGCGTAGAAACAGTGACGGGTCAGCAGTAGAGGGAGCGAACCCAAGAGCCGCAAGTGTCGTCCTCAGTGTGTCGTGCCACTCACGCGGTGCCTGGCGGAGACCGTAGACCGGCCGCTGAAGCCTCCACTGGGTACCAGGAGGAACTGACCCAGTGAAGCC